GCACCACCGCAGGTTCTTCCCAGGGGGGGGCCCGCTGGGCGACGTCGCCGCCGGGCGACGCCCTTCTCCATGACGAGCGAACAGAACAGAACACACAAAATGGGGTAACGGAAGGCGTGCATTCTGCACGAACGAGATGGGCACGGAAAGAATGGGTACGATGCCCAACAGCAGTTCTTGTTCATTTTGAACCGGATTCGCTGTCCACGCCGCCGCACACATTTCGGGCGTCCAGAACAATGGGGTGACGGAAGGGGTGCATGTTGTCGGACGGGGGCGCCCGCTCGAAGGGGAGCTCGCCCCGGGGTCCGACGACCTGCGTTCATACCTATAGCCATTCCTCCCCCCTCTGGTCCCTCAATGGGTATGAGCGTGTCTGGTTCATTCTATGATTTTCCGGAAACTGGAACATATACATTACCAGTGGCGGGCTGTTTTTCAATCCCAGAACTGTTTGAGGGTCGGGGACGACGTCGGAGAGGTGTGGTGTATACCATTTCCCCGCTTTCCCGGGGAGACAGCGAACGAAGTATACACCAGGATCTCGTACACACCAGGATCCGCTCTCTTGTGCGAGTTTCGGTGCGGGGCCTTAGAAAGCGTCTGTGTATAGAGTCCGGTCCCTTAATTTTCTCACGCGCAACATCCGTCAGCCGTGGGTTTATGGAAGGTTAGCCGGACAGTTGTGGTGTACAACTTGTGCTCTGTAAGTTTCAGGCTTCCGACGTCAGCACAAGCAAATTTACATCGTTGCGTGATTTCCGACCCCGAACCAAAACCACGGGTCGGTTTTGAAGGTTGCCCCGGCGATCGTGGCGGCCACACATCGTGGCAAGGTTTTGCCGAGGCCCCCCCCCGCTCTGCGATGTAGACGTGGTGCAGACTTAACAACATAGCGACAGGGGGTTGTCAATTCACGCCCGACATGGCAATCATGTTTTCTCGGTCAGGGGTCGATCATCACGCGACAATGTTACACTCGGGTCATCTGCGCCCTGTGCGCTCGAGGGCGCACGCCTGCAGGCGCCCTCGCGTCCGAGCTCAGAGAGCACTCCTCTTCCACGCCGCACCTACCAGTCCCAGGCCCTGAGATCCCCCCGCGTCGCGAGAAATATAGCACGGCCCTCGGGTCAAGTCGGGCATGCCCCTCTACAGGAAGGATATTCGAGAATAGTAAAACATCGTCTGGGGACGATGTTTTGAGTATGTTGTGGGTATTGTGGAGTAGATGTTTTGAAGGTATGTTTGATTTTTCGCCCCAAATCCTCCTGTAGGGGGACATGACCGTCCCAAAATAATGCACGGCCCTCGGGAAATGCCGAGCTTGGCCTCGGTCTCCAGCGGCCCTCGCCGGGCCCGGGGGCCGTCAAAAACGAAAAACGAAGTAGTCCACCGGAGAAGAAACAACGCCACAAACATAAACTTTTGGCGCTCCGCGCGGATTTCTTGGATCCGCACCGGGTCCCCCCTGGTTGCGCCTCTGGCGCCACTCCTGGCGCGCTCCGCGCGCCAGGGCGGGGGGGGGCGCCCAGCGCGGATCCAAGAACTCCGCGCGGAGCGCCAAAAGTTTCGGTTTTGGGTGTTTTTTCCCTCCTCTCAGGCATCGGGGGCGGAAAAGAGGGGGGTGATGACCTAGGGGGGGTCGATGTCATGGCGTGGGCCATGATGTTTCTACAGATTTCACGGCGCCTCGTCTTGTTTCTTTACGTCCCTGGCCCTCCCGCTGGGCCGCGCACATGCCGCTGGTCATGATCTGCCCCCCCCCCCCTCTTGGACACCCCCCTTTGGGCCGCTCCCGAAGGCAAGAGGAGCAGTCCGCGGGGCGCAGCGCCCTTTCTCCGGGACGGGCCCAGACCTCCGTCTGGGGGGGGGGGTCCGCGCTGCGGAGGGCCCACGGCGCCAGAGGGCCGGGGGATCCCGCGGGGATGCGAGGCCAACATGTTTCTACGAATGTGTGCGTCGCCCCCCTCGGGGGCGCTATCGGCGTCGCTCCAACATGCTTCTGCGAATGAGTGCGCTATCGGCGTCGCCCCAACATGCTTCGACGAATGTGTGCGTCGCCCTTCTCGGGGCGACGCGCGCAGCGAGGAGTCTTCTGGTCTGTGCGCCGTGGCGGGCGCTCTCTGGCCACACCGCTCGGGAAACGATATGCTACGAGATGGGCATACTATACAGTCCAAAACCCTAATAAGGACGCGCGACTTTGCTCAGGGTACCCTTGCGTCCTTGCTCTTCCTTGCTCTTGCGTCCTTGAGGTTTTCGTCGTCCGCCGCCCCCCCAAAAAACCCACTTCGGCTTCTCAAGGGTCTTGCGTCCTCACCGCGCGTCCTTATTAGGGTTTTTGACTGTATGTCCGGGTCGGACGCGCGCCTCCGGGGAGGACAACAGTCCCAGCCCAGGACGCCGGAGGTCCGGGGCCCTTCTCTCCCGGCGGGAGGACGAGGCGCAGTTCGCGATCGTGGTCTCGGGCCCGGAGGATTACGAGGTGTACGAGGAGCTCCCCGAGGCAAGGCCCCCCAGGGCCTCCGGGCCGGGAGGGGGGGGAGTCACCACCCACCAAACCACCCCAACCCAACCCGAAGGTCCAAATTTGCCCTCGATCTCCAGTTTGGGGGGGGGGTCGGGGAACATCGAAAATCAGGAGGGGAAGAAACACACAGACACAATTATTCGTCGATTCCCAGAAAATATGGGGAAATACGGGAAGTGGGGGGGAAGACAGAAACCCAGAAAAGATGGGGAAATATGGGAATCTGTTTATTTATGTGTATTTATTTGTATGTCCTGGGGCCCCTTCAGAAAAAGCACATGTGGAACCCGTACCCCCCCAGCCCGAGACTTGGGTCTTCGGGTCACGTTGGGGTGGCCTGGTAGGAAGTCGGAGGGGGGGGGGGCGGCACGGCACCCCGAGGGGAAGCAGCTCCGCAGCAGCTTCCCCGACGCGTGTTGGCGTGTGCCCCAGTCGGCGACCACAAAGGGTATGGTTACAGTCAACCCGCGTAGTGAGGATGGGCAACCTCGCCAAGGGTACCCGGGGGGGGACAGAACCCCCAACAGTGACACGTCGATTAGTGAATTGTCCGTTTTCGGTTCTTGAGAGGGCGCCGTGGCCGTTATTTTCCAGGCTTGCGCCCGCCAGGTTTGGGCCTCAGGTCGTTTTCACTAAACCACGTTTTACTAAAGGGGGGTCTGTCCATCCCCGAGGTACCCTTGTATCCGTGCCTCCTCGGTCCATCCTTCGCCACTTTCGTTGGCCGCGCCCCGCTCGAAAATCTTCAGAATGGGCGTCCAAGGCCCTTGCATCCTTATCGCGCATCCTTCCTGTACGGGTTGACTGGACGCCGGGGTGCGGTTTGCGGGCGGCATCGCTGGGGCCCGGGGGGCCCGACGCTGTCCTCGTCGGGCCTCCTCCCGGGGCGCGGCGAGGAGAGCTCCGTCGAGGTGCTGGGCTCGTCCCCCCAGGGTGCCCCCCCGGGGGCCGGTTGCAAGCCGCACCCTCTGCAAGCCAGACCCTTCGGAGTCGCCGAGGGGAGCTCCCCGAGGCCTCGCCCACCGGTGCCTCGGGGCCGGGAGGGGAGGGTCGGGGGCGGCAAAGAGGGGGGTGATGACCTAGGGGGGGGGGGGATATCATGGCGGGGGCCATGCTATTTCCCCAGAGTTCATGGCGCCTCCTCTTGTTTCATCAGGCCCCTGGCCCCCCCGCTGGGCCGCGCACGTGCCGCCGGCCATGATCTGCACCCCCCCCTCTTGGACGCCCCTCTCTGGGCGGCTCCCGGGGAGGGGATGGGGGAGCGGCGGCACCCCCAGGGGAAGCAGCTCCCCGGAGCCCCCCTCCGCGTCGTGAGAAAAATTCGGCGGGAGGTTGTTCACTGTTTTCGGCCTCCAGGGGCCCTCACCGTCAAAAAACGGCCTCCGGGGACTGCCTTCGCGTCGTGAACAAAAATTCGGCGGGATGTTGTTCGCTGGTTTCGGCCTCCGGGGGCCCTCGCTGGGCCTCGGGGCCGCCAAAAACCCTGAGGGGAAGCAGCTCCCCGGACCCCCCCTCCGCGTCGTGAGTAAAAATTCGGCGGGATGTTGTTCGCTGTTTTCGGCCTCCGGGGGCCCTCGCTAAAACAGGGCTAGGATCGGGATAAATCGCTCCAGAGCGTTCCGGAGCGCTCTCAGAGCGTTCCGGAACGCTTTGGAGCGGCCGCGGCGCCCTCCTCCAAACCCGCCGATTCTCAGAGATTTCGAGTTATCCCGATCCAATTTTGTCCCGATCTTCGCGTCGTTTTACTCGCTGGGCCTCGGGGCCGTCAAAAAACGATTCAGGATGTGAAAAGCCGGTCCCCGGGGAAGGGGTCCAGACTTCTGGGGTTCGACGTGCAAAAAAGATCACGACGTCGGGGGTCTGGGTCCTCAGCAGCTTCCCCGATGCATGTTGGCGTGTGCCCGAGTTCGGTGATCTCGCGAAGGAAAGTATTAAAGTAACAAATAAGCGTATAATTCCAGGCTGAAGTCGGGCATGCATGTCGCATGTCCCTCAGCAGGAGGAATATTCAAGAATAGTGAAAAGTAGTCTGGGGACGATTTTCGTGCTCTTCTGACTGTTTCGGAATATGTGTTGTTAATGTTTTATGTTGCTCCCAAATTCCGTAGGAGGACCTGCCCGACTTAATTCTAGGCCTCCTAGATGGGGTAGGCGCAGATGGGGTCGGCGGATCGCGCGGCAGTACCGATGCATCGACGATGCGGCTCCGTGGAGCCCGACTTGCTTCACGTCGACGTCGCCGATGCGTCACCGACGTCGACGATGCAACGGTGGTGCATCCCCGATGCATCGCCGATAAAGCAACGATGTATCGGCGATGTGGCGCGATGCATCCCCGACGTCGCCGATGCATCACCGACGTCGCCGATGCATCCCCGATGCATCGCCGATACATCACCGATGTGTCGGCGATGTGGCGCGATCCTCCGACACCGTCTACGCTTAATTCGGGCCTGTCCCTCTGCAGGGGGAACATTGTAAGGAACAAGTAGTATTGGTGGGCACGATTTTTCGATTATGTTTATAACACTTGTTAGGAAAATGTTATTGGCATGCCCAACCCAACCCAACCCAACATCACGCTCGCGTCTCGGGCCATCCCAGAATCCTTGCACCACCCAGGTTCGGGCCGAACTAAAGGGGGGGATAAGGAAAGTGGGGGGGGGACGAAATCTGCTACATGCAGCTGGTTTCGGCCACACCGAGGGGCCCATTCCTCGACACATGGGCGCCTCCGGCGCTGGGAGGCGCCGGGACAATCGGCTACGTGATCTGATCTTCTGCACGAACGAAATGGGCACGGAAATAATGGGTACAATGCCCGACAGCGGATCCGGTTCATTCGGAACAGGACTCGCTGTCCGCGCCGCCGCGGCCTGTGTCCATTTGAGGCAGAAGGCCGCCTGCCCAACAGCGGCCGCTCTTGGTTCGGGACAACATTTGCTGTTGGGCATTGTATCCATTTTTATCCGTGCCCATTTCGGGCGTCCAAAGATTCTACCCCCCCCCTTGTTATCCCGCACTTTCGCCCGGCCCGATCCTCCTCGTCCTCCCCCTCCTCCTCCTCCTCCTCCTCCTCCTCCTCCTCCTCCTCCTCCTCCTCCCCCTCCTCCTCCTCCTCCCCCTCCTCCTCCTCCTCCTCCTCCTCCTGCTCCTCATGCTCCTCCTTTCGCCCGGCGAGAGAGCCCTTGCACCACCCAGGTGCCCCGTGACGCGGTCTGGGCCAGAGCTGCTGGCCCTCGCCCCAGGGGGCGGAACGGGGGCGCGAGTGGCGCGAGCTTTCGTCGCGCGCGGCGCCTCCCGGGGCGCGATGCGGAGAGCTGGGCGACCTAGCGTGAAGTCGGGCACGTCCCCCCTACAGGAGAAGTAGTCAGACATAGTCAAACATAGTTTTTCAACATAGGAGAAGTATAAAAAATAGGCGAACAATATTCAAAAATAGTAGAACACATCGGAGAAGTATTCAAACATGGTTATAAAAAGTCTGTTTGAGTATTTGTTTGGTTTTTTTTTGTTTTGAGTATGGTTGGGGGTCTCTTTCATCTTTCGTCCAGAATCCCTGGGCCCGACCCTAGCGTCATCCCCTTGTCTCTGTTCGCTTTCCCCGACATCTCGGGCCGGTCGGAATGTGTACGGAAAGGATGGGTACGCGGCCCTGTAGCAATTCCTGTTTATTTGGGACCGGGCTCGCTGTCCGCGCCGCTGCGGACGTTGCTCACTGAAGACAGAGAGCCGCCTTCCCAACAGCGGCCGCTGTCTGTTTGGGACAACATGTGTTGTTGGGCACTGTACCCATTTCTCCGTACTCTGGGTTTCTTGATAAGCGTGGGGGGTACCCCCCCGACGGGGGTTTAACCTCGCCTCGTCGTCGCGCCGCGCCCTCGGCGCGAGGTGGCTGCCCGCGACGGGGGTCGATGCGGGGCTGTCGGCGGGGGCGACGCCCCCCCCGACGCTTTTTTTTTTTCCCAACCATCCTGTGGTGTTGGGTCCTCGTTTTGAAGAGACGGTGCCCCGCGTTCCTCTCCTCCTTCCTCCTCCCCCTCCTCCCTCCTCCCCCTCCTCTTCTCTCTTCCGTCAGAATGATCATCTGCAGCATCATCCTCATCCACATCCTCATCCTCATCATCGTCTTCATCATCGTCCCCACCGCCCATGTCGTCACACCCCTCACACGTTTCGTGGCCCCATAGGGAGCTCCACCGAAGGTCCCACTGGGGGCGTTCGCATGCGTCTCCCCCACCCAGGACAGCGTTTCGTGGCCCCATAGGGAGCTCCACTGAAGGTCCCAATAGGGGTGTTCGCATGCGTCTCCCCCACGCAGGACAGCGTTTCGTGGCCCCATACATAGGGAGCTCCACCGAAGGTCCCAGTAGGGGGTGTTCGCATGCGTCTCCCCCACCCAGGACAGCGTTTCGTGGCCCCATAGGGAGCTCCACCGAAGGCCCAAGTGGGGGTGTTCGCATGCGTCTCCCCCACCCAGGACACTGTTTCGTGGCCCCGTAGGGAGCTCCACCGAAGGTCCCAATAGGGGTGTTCGCATGCGTCTCCCCCACGCAGGACAGCGTTTCGTGGCCCCATAGGGAGCTCCACCGAAGGTCCCAGTAGGGGTGTTCGCATGCGTCTCCCCCACCCAGGACAGCGTTTCGTGGCCCCATCGGGAGCTCCACCGAAGGTCCCAATAAGGGTGTTCGCATGCGTCTCCCCCACCCAGGACAGCGTTTCGTGGCCCCATAGGGAGCTCCACCGAAGGCCCAAGTGGGGGTGTTCGCATGCGTCTCCCCCACCCAGGACAGCGTTTCGTGGCCCCATAGGGAGCTCCACCTAAGGTCCCAGTAGGGGTGTTCGCATGCGTCTCCCCCACCCAGGACAACGTTTCGTGGCCCCATGGGGAGCTCCACCGAAGGTCCCACTGGGGGTGTTCGCATGCGTCTCCCCCACCCAGGACAGCGCTTCGTGGCCCCATGGGGAGCTCCACCGAAGGTCCCAATAGGGGTGTTCGCATGCGTCTCCCCCACCCAGGACAGCGTTTCGTGGCACCATAGGGAGCTCCACCGAAGGCTCCAGTGGGGGTGTTCGCATGCGTCTCCCCCACCCAGGACAGCGCTTCGTGGCCCCATGGGGGGCTCCACCTAGGACACAGGCTTGCCTGTCCCCCACCCAGCATCACCTAGGAAAGCGTTGCGAGGAGGAGGAGGAGGAGGAGGAGGAGGAGGAGGAGGAGGAGGAGGAGGAGGAGTCATAGGAGTGCAGTCCTTCAGGAACAAGGACATACCCGCGGGGGGCAAGCTGAAAGCGCTACAGGACACGTGGGAGGCGGTCAGGTGCTTGATCCTGGAGGAGGTGAGCATGATCTCGCCCAACTTGTACAACATGCTCGCCTTCCGGTCCTACCTGGGACGCAAGGCCGAGTGGGGCGCGGAGGAGCGGGAGTACGACCAGGTCGGCGGAGCCTTCGGCCGGATGCCGATCGTGATCCACCTGGGAGACTTCTTGCAGCTGAAGCCGACGGGAGGCAAAGTGTCCCTCATCTCCAGCTTCGAGGAACTGGCGAAGGCGGGCATCAACCTCGCTCCAGAGTACCAGGCCGTGATGAAGCTCTTCTGCAACACGCCGCTGTGCTTCGAGCTCCAGGCGTCCAACCGCTTCAAAGACCCGAAGCTTCGTGATCTCATGGCGTTCTTGCGCAAGCCGGGGAAGCAGGTCCCGCCGGCCATCCGTGCCACGTGGAACGCCATGCAGTTGAAACCCGATGATCGCCGGCTCCGGGAGGAAAGGTTCCAGAACGGCCACATGATTGGGTCTTCATGGGACACTGTGGCGCGGTGGATGAACATGCGTTCCCAGCGGGACGCGGACGTCCTGAAGAAGCCTCTCTTCCTCGCGCAGGCCGCCGACAGGTCTGCCCCGACGATGAATGTCAAGGACGCCGCCAAGATGATGAACTGTGCCAACCCGAAGAACACCGGTGGCATGCACGGACTGCTCCCGGTGCATGTCGGCATGCGGATCCGGCTCCTGGAGGCGCTCGACCTCAAGAACGGCCTCGTCAAGGACGCCGAGGGCCAGATCGTGCACATCGTCGTGGACCCTCGAGATCGGGGCGCAGTCGACAATGCCGAGAGAGACGGGGAGAAGAGGGTCTATCTGAAGCACTTGCCGCTGGGGTTCTGGGCGCGCATGGAGAAGTACGCGAGCGCGCCCTTCGTGGACGACCTGGGGCGCCACGACGACAGCCTCACGGGGGACCTCGCGGGCCCGCTGGTGTTCATCGAGCCCCGTACGTCGGAGCCGTTCACCTTCCGCACCTCCAAGGTCACCCGGACGGGCTTCCCGTTTTCGCACGGCAGGGTCATCACCACGGTGGCGTGCCAGGGGCGCACCATGCGGGAAGGCGACGGGGCGGGGGAACGGCGCCGCCGGGCAGTCCACGGCCGAACCTTTCGGGCCGAGCGGTCCGCAGCCAGACCTTCTCTCGGTCTCGTGGACTCTCGCCCTGGGCCTTCGGCTTTCCGGCGCGCTGCTCCCTCGGCCGACATCGCCCAGGCGTGGTCCTGGACTGCGGCCGCCACGAGGTGGGGGGCGGCAAGAAGGAGGACGACGACTGGTGGCTGGAGCTCTACGTCCTGCTCTCGCGCGCCACGCGCCACGAGGACCTCCTGCTCACGCGGGCGCCGCGCGTCGAGTTCTTCCTGGCAGGGCCGCCGGAGGGCTTGCGGAAGCAGCTGGAGCTGTTTGCTGCGCGCACGAGGCGGCGCAGAAGGGAGGCGACGGCCCTCGCCAGGGAGCTGGGCTTCACGGAGTTTATCCGCGAGGCTCGACCTGAGGAGCGGCCCGCCCGAGCCTCGCCGTCTCTCGACGGTCTGACTGTTTGGCTTCGCGCTGCGGGCAACCTGCGCGCGTCGCTGGGACCCTCTCGGGGCGACCAGCGCGCGTCCCGGGAATTTCGCGCTGCGCTCTGACCAGAGCCTCGCTCGCCCCCGTCGTCTCTCTGCCCAGCGGCCACAGGCTTGCCCGCTATCAGCCAGCCTGCTCGCTCTCCCCGCTGCGCACAGCGGACGACCTGCGCGCGTCGCCGGGACCCCTTCGGGGCGACCAGCGCGCGTCGCGGGGATTCCGTGCGGCGCCGCGCCAGCAGCCATGGACATCGGCGCGCGCGGGCAAAGATGCAGAGAAGAAAGGGAAGGAAGCGGGCGCGATCCTCGGGAGGAGCGTCCATATTTATGTACGTAGACTGATTCGCACGCAGACTCATTCACAATCAGACTCACTCGCGCTCAGGTTCACCCGTTTTTAGCCTCTCGCACTCAGACCGACCGTCTTTGTTCGTATCGTGTACCCCGTGACGAATTTCGGCACGCCCCTCACACGGTTCGTGGCCCCATGGGGAGCGCGAGTGAAGATGGTATTCACGATTGCGGTATTCACAACTGCACATGGTTGGGTCCTTCGTCAGGCTAATTTTTTTTAAAAGACTCGGAGTATTCATCTCGGGCTTCCCAGAGATCCGCCGGCACGATTTTTGTGTCCCCCCATGGGGTCCCGAGCCCTTCCCTGGGGCCGGTAGCCTGTTCCAGAGCCGTGCTTGATGGATGGCCCTGGAGCCCCCCCCGAGGCCGGACTCGAGATCCTCCGGCACGACTTGTGTCCCCCCGCGGGGTCCCGGCCCCTTCCCTGGGGCCGGCAGCCCGTTCCGGAGCCGTGCTTGCTGGATGGCCCCAGGGCCCGATCCCGGGCCCCCCCGAGGCCGGGCTCGAGGAGCCGCGCGAAGGTTTTTGTTTTTTTGTTGTTTTTGTTGGGCTGTTCTCCGTGGCTTCCAAGGATCCTGCCAAATATCAGCGCGTGAATTGCCCACCCCGCTTTCGCTTCCAGGCAAAACCAAGTCATACTACGCGCCTCCTCGTCAAGCGGCCTGACCAGTACAGGCCGTAGTTTGGCATCGCTTGGTATCTCTTGGAAGCGAGGGTGGTCAAAAGCGAGGTAGGTCTGTTTGCCCCCTAAAACAGGGGCATGTGAGCGGGAGGGGGGCGAAGGAAGAAGAGGAGGGAGTTGTGGAGTCTCTCTCTCTCTCTCTCTCTCTGTATATATATATATATATATATATTCGAACGCAGGAGGCCCAAACGAGCCTCGAGCCAAAGTAGCATATCGTCGGACATCGGTGGTGAAGAGTCATCCGTTCGGGACGGTCCGGGAGTCCCGGGAACGCCCGCGACGAGACGCAGCTGATGGAAACCAACCCAGTCCCCAGGCCTCCGCAATCCTCCGTTGACCCCCGAAACATCCGAAACCGCCTGGATAAATAAACAACATACCGTCGGAGATCTGGGTTTGTCTCTCGTCGCCCTCCTCCAAGGCAGGCAGCAGAGCAGTGGCGACGTCGAGAACCGGGGCGACCGTTAGATAATTCGCTAATCGAGCGGAGCCCATTTATCCTGATTCATGGCGCCTATTCTTATTTCAATACGTCCCCCGGCCCCCCCCCTGGGCCGTGCACGTGCCACCGGCCATGATTTGCGCCCCCCTCTGGGACCCCCCTTTTTCCTTCTTGGCCGCCCCCAGTGATGTTTTGTCCACCCTCTCGCCCCCCCCCCCCTCGCAGGCGCTGAAGGCCGCGCAGGCCCGCGTGCTGGCGGTCCGCGGCCAGGCCTGGGGGACGACGCTGCCTGGATGCCGCTACTCGCCACTCCTCGGATCTCTCCAGGAGTGCGGCCTGACCAGGATTTCGGAGCGAGTCCGGCCGCGGCGACGAGGGACGCGTAGAGGTATCGTTATCCCCAGACGCCAGCCCGACCGTGGCGACGAGGGGCGCGTAGCGGTATCGGCATGCCCGGACGTCAGCCGATCTGATGTTTGAGTTGATTTGTTTTGACTTCGCGGCCTCAGGGGTCGGCCTTTCCCCCGCGGCCAGTCTGCCGCCCTGGATCAGTGTTGGATGGTCCTGGGGGTAAGTCGGGCCTGTCTACAGGAGGAACATGGAAAAACAAGTAAATACAGAATGTGGAGACAATGTTTGGTATATGTAGATTAATATTTTGGGGTACGTTTTGAATTTTCAGTTTTTCGCCCGAAATCCGGCTGTAGGGAGACATGCCCGACCTAATCTTGGGGGCCGAAATCGAACGGACTTCAAAACAGATCCGTTGGAGATCTGAGCCTCTCTCCTTCGGAGGTGGATAGACCTCCTACCCTGACCCTGACATGTCGATTCAGGAGTTGACCGTCTTCGGCTCGCGAGAGGGCGTCGCGGCCGTCATCTGTGCTGGTCCAGGTCCGTCGGTTTCGGTCCCAGGCCGTTTTCATTAAGGGGAGGTTTAGTAAAAGGAGGTTTGTCCACCGCCGACCCCCATCCCCTTCCTCATTCCCTTCGAGACCCCCACCAAATTGCAACCCCCATTGGGGATACCTACACACCCCTCGGAACCCGAAGGGAACCGCCTGTATTCCCATCCAGGGGGGTACATCGAACCGACAAACACCCGGACTTCAAAACAGATCCGTTGGAGATCTGAGCCTCTCCGTCGGTTTCGGTCCCAGGCCGTTTTCATGAAGGGGAGGTTTACTAGAAGGAGGTTTGTCCACCGCCGACTCCTCTTCTGAAGGCCGCCGGGGTGGGGTTCGCTTCGTCCGGGAGCTCTCGAGCGGAGTGAACCCCACCCCTCCCCCCCCAGAAGTCGTGGGGGGCAGGGGCAGGGTTCGCATGCGGCCCCCTAGTTAAAAATCTGAGCCTCTCTCCTCTTCTGAAGGCCGCCGCCGGCGGCGGCGCGGACGCGGCGGCCGCCGCCGCGCCGTCCGCCGCTGCCGCGGGCGGCTGCGGCGCCGCCAGCGGGCCGCCCGCGAAGCGGGCGCGCCGCGCTCCAGGCGCTGCCGTGAAGTCGGGCGTGCCCCTCTATCTGGACGCCCGAAGAAATGGGTACTGAAAGAATGGGTACTATGCCCAACAGCGGATCTGGTTCATTTTGAACAAGATCCGCTGTCCACGCCGCCGCGGCCTGTGTCCATTCGAGACAGGAGGCCGCCCGCCCAACAGCGGCCGCTGTCGGTTTGGGACAGCACTTGCTGTTGGGCATGTTGCCCATTCTTTCGGTACCCATTTCGGGTGTCCAAACTCTAGAGGAAGAATGTTCCGGAATGGTAGACAAGTAGTCGGGGGATCATGTTTGAGTATGTTTGGTAATTGTTTGGGAGAATAATTTTTTGAGTAAGAAATAGACTAGAATAGTAAAGATATTAGTAAAGATAGTAGTCAAGAAAAGTAAAGTTAGCAGTCAAGAAATAGTCGGGGGATCATCTTTTGAGTATTGTTGAGCATGTTGCGTTTGTTTTTGAATATTTTTGGTCGTGTACCATGTGTTGCTCATTCTTGAGCATGTTTGGAATAGTATTGGTAAAAATAGTTGGGGGACCATTTGTTTAAGTATTTTTTGTAATGTCGGCGATGTCCGTTTACAGTCGTATATAGCCAGGACCCCAGGTAAGGGGACCCGGTTAGTGGTAGGGCCCCAGAGCCCCTAAATCAGCCAGAATCACTAAACCAGGTCTGCCGAAGCGGGTGTTTTTCGGATGACGGCAGTTTCGGTTAGTGGTATGGGGCGAGGGGGCGTCCCCCAGTACACAGCACTAAACCAGGCCCCACTGAACCCAGTTCTGCCAACGCCCGATACAGGAAGAATACTCAAGAATAGTAGAACAATAATCGGGGGATCATTTTTTTGAGTATTTTTAGCTTGTAGCGGGACACGCCCGACCTAACGCCAGGCGCTGCCGCGGAAGCGCCGCCGCCCGGGCCGCTCGCGGCGGCGGAGTCTTGCGAGCGGGAGCGGCTGCTGTCGGCCGCCGCGGCCGGCGGCGCCGCGGCGCTGCGCCTGGCGGCCGAGGTGTGCGGCGCCCAGGGCTTGGCATCTCACCACCCACCAAACCACCCCAACCCAACCCGAAGGCCCAAATTTTTATCCTCGATTTCCAGTGGGGGGGGGGGGCGGGGAACATAGAAAAAACACATGGAACCCGTACCCCCCCCAACCCGAAATTCGGGTCAAATTCGGGTCTTCGGGTTGGGTTGGGGTGGTCTGGTAGGTAGTCAGTATCGCTCGGGCGTGTGCATTCCTACTCGGCGAGGGCCATCGAGTCGGGGGCGGCAAAGAGGGAGGGGATGACTAGGGCGGGGTGGATATCACGGCGTGGGCCATGATATTGCCCCAGGTGTCATGGCGCCTCTTCTTGTTTCATCACTTCCCTGGCCCCCCCCCTGGGCCGCGCACATGACGCCGGCCATGATTTGCACCCCCCCCTCTTGGACGCCCCCCCTGGCCGCCCCCGATAGAGGAGCATCCTGGATCATCTGGCCAAAAAACAAAACACGCACGGAACCACCAAATGCACGGGGAATGGGCGTCCGAGCGATGGCAAGAGTCAGCCACGCGCAGAGGGGGGGTGGGCTTCTCAGAATCACCCCTGCTTCTCAGAGGGCGCGGGCCTTCTCTGTAGATGCAAGGCGGGCGCCTTCTAAGAAGCAGCCTCCTTCTGAGAAGCCCTCCCCCTTCCTCCACCCCCTTGTGCGCGCCGCCAGAAGAGGGGGGTTGGCCTGGCCTCGCCAGGGGCGACGAGAAGGGTTAAGTCGGGCCTGTCCCTCTACAGGGGGGATATTCAAAAATGGTCAAGCGATTGTCTGGGGACTGTGTCCCTACCTAGGCTCTGCGTAGAAGGGTTCTTACCCTCTTTGCTTAAAGAGGCCGGGCAGTGGAAATCGCCCCGGGCGCATAGCATAGCGCAGCATAGCATGGCATAGCATAGCATAGCATAGCAACGAATGCTGCTTTCATAGGGGCTCCAACTTCTAGGTAGGGTCGCACTGGGTCAATTTTTGATTATTTTTTGAGCTTTCGTCGCAACTCCCCCTGTAGGGGGACACGTTTGACTTAAGATCAGGGGGGGTCGGCTCCTTGGCCACGGCCCAGCCTGCGGCCGAGGAAGAGAGGCCCCTCGGCAGCCCGGGCCCTCCCGAGAGGCCTTCCCCGGCCTCCCGGGGAGGCCGCCCCTCTTCCAAACAGCGGCGAAGTGTCTTGGCTCGCCGATAGCCCTGCGTGGCGAAGTTCTAAGAACCTTGCTGGTGGTTCCCACGAGATGTTCTCAGACCATTTCTGGTTGATATTGTCTTGTTGTCGCACATCTGGCTTGTGCTCTGAGAACGTTGCTTCTGTCCTTCGAACATTCTTGGGTAACAGAACGCTTCGTGGTAGGACTACAGGGATGCCGGGACGGTCGGCCCCTGCTCCACGGACAGCGGCCGAGGAAGAGAGGCATCTCGGAAGGCCGGGCCCTCCCGAGGGGCCTTCCCCAGCCTCCCGGGGCGGCCGGCCCTCTCCTGCGCGCCGCCCGGCGAGGAGCGGCAGCGGCTGGAGCGGGAGGTTGCCGCGCAGGCGGAGGAGGTGCGGCAGGAGGAAGAGGAGCGGGGGGGGGGGGGAAATTACGCTAGCGAGGAACCCCACATACTTATATTATGGCTGGAGTGATGAGAGCTGAGATGAAGCATGTGAGAATGATGTTGGTGGCCGTTGCCCCGCCGATACCGCTGTGCCCTGGACGACCGTCAAGGATAGCGGCCGCGGTGCGGCAGGAGGAGGAGGAGGAGCGGGGGGGAAAAAACGCACAAAGACAATGCATCGTCGATGTCCCGGGAAATAGGTGACAATGCGGGAAGTGGGGGGAAGACAGAGACCCAGAACATATGGGAGCATGTGGGGGACGCTGTTATGTGTGTCTATGTGTGTTGTGTGTGTCCCAGGGCCCCTGCAGAGGAGCGGGGGGGGCGCCGAGAAGACCACCCCGAGATTTGGGCGTCGCAGCTGTCTGGCGCCGGGTGGTTTCCCACGATGTCGGCGGCCCGGGACCCTCACGGGTCGATCCTGCGGGAGAGATGCCGCCGCGGAGAGGTGGGGCCGAGGGCTCCGGACGCGATGGCTCACGGTGCCGCGCTTTTCCGAGGCGTCGGATCTCAGGTCCCGCGTAGGTGGTGTCACCGACGATGTCCAGGCCGAGCCTGGGGCCGCCTGCGGCCCTCCATGTTGCGCCACGGCCCCTCGGGCGCCGCAGCGCACACTGCGCAAAAGCCCACGCCGGATCTCCCGTGATCTCTCAGTGTGCGCTAAGCCCCGTGGGGCCGTTGGTGGGGTGGTGTCGCCTGTTTTCTGGCCCACGGGGGGAAGGGGGCCACGTCGCCAGTCCTGGGGCCCCACGGGGGCCCCCATAGAAATCCCTAGGAATGCCCACAATAACCCATAAGTTGCATCAAGAACTACACACAACGACAAAAGGCGGCCCTCGCGCGGCCCCCGCGACGCCCGAAGGCGAGGCCAACTGGTCCGAAGACCGAAGCAGCGCAAACGAGAGCAAATGCTTGAATCAATGCCAAGCCAGGGGGGGCCTGGCCAGGACCCTTGCGCCGAGGACCCGTGCACCCCTGGCCACGCGACCCCGCCCGTGCGGCCGGCGCCTCGTCCAGCAGGGCCACTCGGGCGCGAAGTGCAGGCAACCTTCACAGTAAGGGGGGGGGGGCAACCTTCCCAAGGGTAGTCGCCCTTGCATCCTCGTCTCCTCGGTCCGTCCTTGGCCACTCTCGTGGGCCGCGCCCCACTCGAAAAGCTCCGAGATGGGCGCGCGAGGCCCTTGAATCCTCATGCCGCATCCTTGCAAACCTCGCCAAAATACATTGAACCGCTGTTCGAAATCGAAGCGCTTGATAGTTCGGGCACTTGTCTGAAAACTCGTTCTTCAATGCTGTGAGGTTATTGCCGGATGTCGGACATCCCTGCGTCTGGGCCAAATACTTCATGCCAGCATTGAAGGAGCGCCCACCACGCAAGCGCCGAAAACCCAAAGCCGTCAATTTTGAGTTTTGACGAGTCTTGTAGGATACGGGCAGCGAGTGCTGCAGAAAGGGGGGGGCCCTCTTGGGCCCCCTCAAGGGGCCCGTTCGGGCCCAGAAGGCCCGAAAGAGGGCTCTCCCCCCACTTATCGCCCCCGCACGGAAAACTGCCTCGATCTTTTCAGGACCGCCAGCCGGGCGGGCGCTTCTCGCCGGCCCCCTAGGGATTCGCGCCCAGGGGTCAGTCGGGCATGTCCCTCTGCAGGAGGAATATTCAAGAATAGTCAGAACATAGTATGGGTACGAATTTTCTCACTATTTTTGATTCTAGGTGGGGACGGTTGTTCGATTATATGTTTGCCTATGTGTGTGGCTATCTTGCACGCTTCCTCGAGAATCCGCCCGTAGGAGGACCTGCCCGACCGAAGCCCAGGGCACGACGGACCTGCCTCGATCCTCGCAAGACCGCCGCCCCGGCGGGCGCCCCTCCCAGCCAGGAGCGGCGGAGGCGCGCCGCCGACGGCGGGCCCCCGTGCCGCGTCCTCGTGTTCTGGGGCACGGCGGGCTGGAGCCGGTGCCAGCTGATGGGGGAGCTGGCCTCGGGGTCGTGGGGCCTCTGCAGGTCGGAGGCGGCGGACGTGGCGTCCAGGCGCGCGCCTTGCTCCATATCTTCTCGCCTCCCTCCCCCGTCCCTCCCCCATGCCCCGCTTCCTCCCACGGCCCCACAGCAGACGCGTTCGACGCCCGGGGGCGTGCCGCTGCTGCCCGCCTCCGGAGGCAGAGACTTGAGGCCGAGGGCCTCCGTGGCCGTCTTGGCCCCAGGCTGCGCCCGGAGACCGCCCCCTAGCTCCAGGCCTCCCAGATGGGGTCGGAGCAGATGGGGTCGGAGGATCGCGCCGCATCGCCGATGCATCGACGACGCGGCTCGATGTGGAGCCCGTGCCTCCCCACGCCGACGTCGCCAGTGCATCGCCGGTGCATGCATCGCCGATACATCGCCGGTGCCTCGGCGATGTGTCGCGATCCTCCGACCCCATCTACTCGAACCCCATCTGTCAGGAGCGGAAGAAAAAACACGGACAAAATTACTCGTCGATTCCCCAGAACATGTGGGAAGATATGGGAAGTGGCGGGAAGACAAGAGCCCAGAAAATGCAATAGAATATGGGGGATCCTGTTGCTTGTGTCGATTAATTTCTGTGTCCCAGGGCCCCCTCCACATGGGAGGCCTCCAGGTCGGAGGCGGCGGAAACGTTGCGTCCAGGCGCGCCCCGCGGCAGGTGCTCCGCGGGTCGGCGGCGAGCCCGGTGGGGGGGGGGAAGGCCGGAGAGGGGGCGGAGCCCCTCTCGGCAGGCGGCGGGGGCTCTCGCGGAGGCCCTCGGGCCTTCCGAGGGGCCGTCCCGTAAGTTCAGAGAAGGAATTGGTACCCATACCTCTACCCCCTCGCCCGGTTCCCCTGTTCGGGCCTCCTTGGAGGCCCTCGTCGCCATCGCTGGATTCGCCTCGACAGCCTGGTCAGAACGCACCCCAGGAGAGGTCCGGGGGGAGCGGTATCGGTACCTTGTGGTTTCCCCACAAGTCGGGCCTGTCCCTCTACAGGGGGAATATTCGAAAATAGTTTTAAACAATTGTCAGGGGACGATGTTTTGAGTATGTTTGGGCATGTTCGGGGTAGTGTTAAAGTTTTTTTTATTTTTCGCCCAAGGTCCGCCTGTAGGGGGACACGCGGAAGGCGTGCGAGGCTTCTCAGGAGGCACGAGCTTAGAGGGCCCTGGAAACGACAGGGCCGTTTTTTTTCCGGTTCCGTTTTGCCGTTTTTTGCTGGTTCCGACGCCGTTTGTTTACCGGTTCCGCCTCCGGCTCCAATCCTGGAGCAATTTTTTTTGCCGTTTCCGGTCGCCGTTTTTTGCCGTTTCCATTTTCATGGGGCATGTTTTGGAAACGGTGAATAAACGGCCCTGCCGTTTCCGCGGCCCACAAAGGGCAAGAGGGCTTCTGCGAAGCCCCGCCACCTTCCGAGAAGGTCTGCCCCCTCTCACTGCCACCAGGGGCCTCGCCGCCGAGAGGGGGGGAGGTGCCCGTACCACTACCCTTGCCTCTCGGGCCGGGCGAAAGGGGGAGATTGGGAAAGGGGGGGGGGTACGAAATTTGCTACATGCAGCTGGTTTCGGCCTCACCGAGGGGCCCATTCCTCGATACATAGCCGCCTCTGGCGCCGGGAGGCGCCGGGAAAATCAGCTACGTGAGCTGATGTTCAAACCCCCCCTTTGCTATCCCCCCCTTTCGCCAGACTCGAGCCTCGTGTTCCCCCCTTTGCGGGCCTCTTGGGAGGCCCTCGTCGCCACGTCTGGGTCCGCTTCGAGGTTCTGGTCAGAGCGCATCCCTGGAGAGGTCTAGATGCCTGTGGAGTAGCAGGCAGCATCGGTATCTGAGGGCCGTCTCCGAGCGATGTCGGTGCGCCCCCCGCAGGGGCGTCAGCCCCAGGGACCCGAAAAACACCACGCTTCGCGCGTGGCTGTCTGGGCCAGAGGTGGTGCCCTCCGAGCGAGGGCGCGAGGCACGAAGCGGATCGCGCACCGCGGAGCGCGACGTGCGACGTCGGGTGACGGGCCGTCCGGCCCTGCGGCTCGTCTGCGGCCGCGGCCCGCAGCGATGGAGCGGGCTCCACTCAGGGCGTCCGCAGCGGCCGCTCGGTCGGAGGTCGCTCCAGGGGGGCCACGGACGCAAAAAACAAATCCCAGGGTCCAGTGATGTGTCCAGGGGTGCGTCCAATCCGAAATCCAAAACACAAAGAAATCCAACACACACACAAAGAAAACGGCAGAGCCAATCCAGGAATCCAAAACACAAAGACATCCGAAACACAAATCCAATCCAGAATCCAATCCAAAATCCAGAATCCATATCCAAAGTCCAGTGGACAAGATCCCAAGGCACACAGAGAAAACGGCGCGAGCGTAAGTTTTCGGAGGTCCGCGCGCCTCGGAGCGGCGCCGGGCGCGCAGGCCCTGGCGCGCTCGGAAGGCCCGGCGCCGAGCCCATGACGACTTCGCGTGGGCTCCAGAGCTTTTTGTTCGTCCTCTTCTGTCGGGGGTGGACAGCACCCCCAACAGTGGCACGTCGATCAGTGAATTGTCCGTTTTCGGTTATCGAGAGGGCGCCGTGGCCGTCATTTCCCAGGCCTGCGCCCGCCAGGTTTGGGCCTCAGGTCGTTTTCACTAAACCACGTTGTATTAAAGGGAGGTCTGTCCATCCCCGATTCTACCCCATGCCCTGTGGTCGAGGGTCTCCTTGGCGCCACCAGCCTGCCCCCTCGAGGCGGGGCTGGATGCCGCGAAGCCCGAGAGGCAAGCGGCGTCCAGCAAGGCCGCGGCTTTTCCCAGAGGGGATGGGGGCGGGTCTAGCGATGCTGGGATGGCAGGGCAACCGGGAATATGACGGGGATGCTGGGATGGGAGGGCAACCGGGAACATGACGGGGAGGTGCGTTGGCTCTGGCCCCCCCCCCGTCACTGGGAGGCAGGAGAAGGAGGGACGGTTAAGGAGGGGGTAGAATTGGCGGAACCATGAGAGGGAGGAGGAGGAGGAGGAGGAGGAGGAGGAGGATAAGGAGGAGGGGGAGGAGGAGGAGAGGAGGAGGAGGAGGAGGAGGAGGAGGAGGAGGGCGAGGAGGAGTTATTGGTCATCCTTGCTCCCTGCTCGTCCCGCTGGCCTCCCGCCTGCGTGTGCGTCGTCGTGTGCCTGATTCCATCTCTCTCTCTCTCTCTCTTTGTTTCTCTCTCTCTCTCTCTCGGTCTCTCCTCTCTCTCTCTCTATATATATATATGTACATACACATCTGTGTGTCCCCCTCCCTCCCTGCATCCAATTTCGTATGGACACATACGCGTCTGAATGAAGCATTCTTTATGATAATGGTATACACATATTCCCTTACAACTATTTTTATGGATCCCGGGTGTGCGGACCTTGCGTCCAGGGCTCTTGGACGCCCCCTCAGAGGGTCCTGCGAGATTTCTGGGCCCCCGGAAGTCCCTGCCAAGGTCGGCGGCGGACACCTCCAAGATGGCCTCTAGCGGCCTCAGACCCCCGCCAGACGCCCGAAGACGGCCAAGCATCACCCCCGAGAGGTTCTCGAAACGCAGAAAAACGTAATCTTCATGTCGTTTTTACATGATTATCGGCCACTCGAATATTCGTTGTTACGGGCGTCCGAGAACGACCGAGAGGCACCGAAAACCGCCGACAACCAACAAATTCAGCCTGACGCTTCAAGAGAGCCCCAAGGCGACCCAAGAGGGTTCAGAAACTGCCTACAACCCAAAATTGCCCCAAGACGCCCTCCGGAAGCATTCAGACCGTGACTCTAGACCATGGTTGGCTGCATGGTGACCCGAGGACCCCCCCAGAGGCTGCTAAAAGGCGCCAGAGACGTCTCCAGAGGCGCTCAAGGAGCCTCTAAAAGGGTGTCGCGAGGTCCTTCAGAAGCTCGCCTCGGAGGAGCCTCCGCAAACAAATATGAGGACGGGGAAGGACTCGCGGGGCAATTCTGGCGAGACCGAGGAAGAGGAAGAGGACACATGAGGGAAGGATAAGGGACAACAACATGATAGCGGTGATGGCGAAAACTGCATCCAAGAGCGATCGCTGTTTCGGTTGAACTATCCGAAATAGATCTGTCGAACCCCCTCCAACTGGTGGGAACAAATCATACGCTCGTCGACCTTGTTGACGGACTGGGGTCCCATCCATAGTGGGAAATAGTTACTTCTCCGCGACACCCGCCGTACAGCCACGACAACGACGATACGAAGCAGGATATTGTGAGCACCGACTTCGGCGAAGAATGAGACGATCTATATTTCAATCCCCTGAAAAAGAAACGTGCGCCACACTCTTGATTCGTGCAGGGTAGCCAATGGAGCATTATTCCTTGGAGAAAAAACCCAACCTGATCCAGCCCGCCCAACAGTAGAGGGCAACATCTCCGCCGCGACGACGACGACGACGACGACGACGACGACCACGACCACGACCACGACCACGACCACGACCACGACCACGACCACGACGACAGTTCGAGGTCAACGATTTACGACTGCGATTGCGATTACAACCACGGCTACAATCACGACTACAACCACAACCACTGATCCTTATTGCATCCCTCATGAGAAGATGCTCACACATCCTCTCGCGTGAAGGGTCGCCCAAAATGGACTCTTCCCTGGGAGAGGGACCCCCAAAAAAAACATTACCCCGCTCGCCCAACAATCGAGGGAAATAATATTCGCAGCGACGACGACGAACACGACTACGATAACGACCACGGAGAGGATTAGAAGGAGGAGGAGGAGCAGGAGGAGGAGGGGCGAAATTGTTCCCCGCCGAGAGAGACAGGCGGGAATGCAAAGCTGAAGACCTCCTGAGGTTACCTCTCTCGCATTCTGCCGGTATGCAAGACGTGAAGGACCAAGGTGCATGGCTCGAAGCGCTTTTGCAGTATTGCATGTATGCTACAAGTGTAATACATGTGCAGCTACATATGCATATGTAAGTGCGTATGCCTCTAAATACATGCGTACTTATGTAGCTACAGAGAGGGTGATCGAGAGAGAGAGAGAGAGTGTGAGAGAGAGAGAGATCGCTAGGTTGCTTGGCAGCACAGCCTGCCTGGAGCTGAAGTTACAGGGATGACCCCGTTCACGAGATCCATCAACCTTTTCTGATCTGGTCGCAGCCCGCCCTGTATCGCGCTCGGACGTGACGTGGCTTGGGAGGATTGTCTTGTCGAGCAGAATGATGGCATCGGCGAAGAAAGCGACCGCATTCTTTCATCGACCCGGGGGAGCACCAATGACGCTCGGATCCCCCCGCGCAGTAATTCTGGTCGGGCGCCCCCCTAGACGGATCATAACAGACCTCGCAATCCACCTCTCCACCTCCCCCCCACTCTTTCACCCCTCGCCCTCCCACTCTTTCCTCTTTCCTTCTCCCCGCCCCTCCCCCCCTTTCCATCTCCCTCCCTTTCCTCTCCTCACCTTCCTCCCCCTTGCCGCGCGCCCGTTGAGGCAGCCGCACGAAGTTTACGAGGCTTTGTACCCGCGTCTGGCAGCTTCCCTCAGCACGGCCGAGCTCACTGGGAGGGAGACAGGAGGGAAAAGGCGGAAGCGGAGGCGTCGGAGGATGAGGTGGGAGGGAAGCAGTGGCGGGAGAAGGAGGAAGAGGAGGAGGAGCAGTTGCAGCAGGGTGGTGGACGCAGACATGGGCAAGGGTTGCCGTGCTCAATGAAAAGGAGCCTCTCTGCCCCAGAGAGGCAGGCATAAAGAATGAGAAGCCGTCCTCCTGCTGGGGGCCGAAGGCAACCGGAGAAGGGGTGCCCTTAGGAGCTGGAGCCGGTTCGCAAGCCGGAGTAGGTTCGCAAGCAGGGGTAGGAGTCGGAGTCGGAGTGGGATCCGAGGTTTGAACCTGTGATGCTCGGGGTCACGTCTCACTTTTTCCGTCGCGTACACAAATTCATGTGCGTCCATGTATCGTCACCCACCTCTTGAACTCAGAAATCACAGAGTCTCTGCACCAAGTCAGGGTCATTTTCCTCGGCCATCGCATCACAGTCGTTTTTGTCGGCACACTGAGCTTAGATCGATTCCGAGATAGCTCCTGCGATGTGTCTACACATAGTGTGTGGGTAGGTTTTCTTCCAACGTGTTTTGAAATCCCCTTCGGAGGTCTCTCCTTTGTGGACCATGTGGGAGCCCTTGGGGTGAGGGCACTTTCCGTTGTTGCGAGCGCTGAGTCGGCGAGCAGCAAGAGTCGGCATTCTGAAACCAGTGAGCCGTTTGGGAGCATTGTCTACCGCACTCGGGTCCGAATGTTGGTGCACGCACTGGTCGAACTCGGCTGTGAAACAAACCGGATTTGAGCGTGTTGCCTTTAGGGGCTCCCAGTAGAAGTTGTTTGAGGCCTTCGGGCGCCAGTGGGGAGGGAGAGGGTGCTCTATCCAGGCGATTTTGCCTGCCACCATGTGGCAGGCCATTCGGTGCAGCATACTCTACAAGAGCTGGTTGCCAACGTCAAACTGTGTCGACTGTCGCTCCTTCACTTGCGGGATACCTCAGAACCATTTCTTGGTGCTAAGAAGGTTCAGCACACAAATCGTGGCTCTGTGTATCCTACACGGCGCAGTAGCTGCGGCAATGCCCTCGTAGTCTTGGGCACGGTCTCTCCTAAATTTGTCTGCAAATTGAGGACCTTCCTGCGTCGGTGGGGGCGTCGGAAGTCTGGAAGAGTTCATTGTGCTTACGTAGGGCCTCTGAAGACATCTCGTAGCAAGCCTCGGGGGTCTGATGGAGATCCGTTGCTTCTTGTTCCGTGAATAGAGCGGGGACCAGCATCGCGAATGGGTGCAGCCTGTCGGGTGGGAATTCCGTTCTGGTTAGGGCAGGTTGTTCGCCATCGGCCCAAGCCTGCCTTCTTCTGCCTGGCCAGGTCATCTATCTCTTGGATTCGGAGTTCCTCAGCACGCTCTGGGCGAAGCACGGCGCCGTGAATAAAGTGGGCAAAAACAGCATTCAGGATCGTCGAAGGACAAGTGGTCTTTCAGAGACCTCCTACTGGCAAACTGAAATTGCCATTTCAAATGGTCCCCTCCTCCATGAAGCGTGACACGATGTTGACCTGGCTGTAGTGCGTACGCACGATGTGTTGCCTGAAATTCCGTGCTAAATGTGCCCTGATTACCGCACCACATGTATTTTATCTTTGGAGTCGGGGTTTGGGTCGGATACGGTGGGTGCCCTGAGTCCGTGGTCGAATGTGGGACCCTTGCTGGCCTTACCGTCCTTGAGCCCATTTGGGCTGGAGGGCTCGAAATATCAGTTCGTGTTCGCCCTCCTGCGTCTCTTGTGGCCGTCTTGGGGGCTTCTTGGGGGCCTCTCGGGCCGCCTTGGGACGTGGGAAGTTGGACGCTGGAAAGAAGCGACAGCGCTCAAATTCTATGAAAGCTGAAGGGGCATCCTGATTGTTGCCTCTCGGGGCCCCCTTGGGGGGTGTATTGGAACCCTCTTGGGGCGTCTCGGGGGCCACATGGGCCGCCTTGAGGCCGTCTTGGGGTGCTCTTGGACCGTCTCGGGGGCCTCTTGAACAACCTTGGGGACCCCTTCTGGACTCGACTGGCCCATTCCGAGGCCTCTGGCTTCGGGAACAGTTTAGCGGGGCCCTGACAGTTACGAGAGACGCTCTACAAGGCATGCGGGAACCCTTGAGACATCCGTGGCACGGTGGCGGACACACACACACACACACACACACGCACCACACAGCACACACCGAACACAAAACACACAACACACACCACACAATGCGCACACAATACACAACCCGCATCACACAACACACAACACACAGCACACACCACACACCAAACACACACAACACACACAACGCACAGCACACACAGTACACATCACACATTACGCACAACACACCACAAACCACACACCACACCATGCACCACACAACACACACTACACTCACAACACACACCACGCAACACAAGACACCCACAACACACAACACACAGCACACACCCCACACAACACACAACATAAACAACGCACAGCACACACACACACACCACACAAAACACACACGCACACAACACACACCACACATCAACACACCACACGGAACACCACACAGCACACAAACAAATCACACCAAACACAGCACACAGCACACAGCACACAGCACACAGCGCACAGCACACAACACACACAGCGCACAACACACAACACACAACACACACAACACAACACACATAACACAACACACACAGCACGCACCACGCAACACGCACAGCACACACCACACAACACACACAGCGCACACCACACAACACACACAACACGCTACACACATAACAGACACCACACAGCACATGACACACGACATACCGCACACCACACAACACACACCACACACCACACCACACAACACACACCACACACCACGCACCACACAACACACAGCACCCACCACACCACACAGCACACAGCTCACAACACAACACACACCACACACAACACAACACAACGCACAGCGCACAACGCACAGCATTACACAACGCGCACAACGCACACCACACAACGCACATACAACACAACACATACCACACACCACACAACCCACACGACAACACACAACACACAACACACAACACCCATCACACACCACAACGCCCAACACGCAGCACGCAACACGCACAACACAAGACTCGAAACACAACACACAACACAACACACAACACACAACACCACACAATACACACCACATCACACAACACACAACCCACAACAACACAACACACAACGCACCACACAACACACAACACAACGCACGACACACAGCACACAACACAACACACACCTCCACACGCACGCACACACCTACCTACATACCTGCCGATGTTTATATGTATGTGTGTAAACATAGGTGCATGTTGCATACGAGCGTCAGGGGGAGTATAGCTCAGATGCGATGGGTTGAAGCAGCGTTTCGTATGTCGCAGTTTCGCTCGGGACATCATCACCATTCTGAAAAAAAGTGACAAACCCACAATGAACTTTTGAACATTAAAGTGTCAAACCCACAATGCCGTTCACTGATTTTGAATGTGATTTTTCAAACATTGATGTGTCGCTTGGGACATGCTCCAAACACCGAGCCCCTTTGCCGACGCTTTTTTATATAAACCATGCAGTTTCGCCTGACACATCCTGTCAATGTCGAGCCGTGGCGTACGACACGCATAACTTACACACGCCGCACAAAGCACACACACAGCGCATGCACACAAAGAACACAACCAACACTTACAACCGCCAGAGCTCACTAACGTACACGGATGCACACACAATCCAAACACCCACACACACATTTCACACACACATTTTACATAGCACACCCAACACAAGCAACACACACACGACGCTCACACACAACACACCTGACACACATTACCACGCGCAGCACACATGACCCACCCATCACTCACATAGCACACACAACACACACCACACGCACACGACGCACACACGGACCACACATACCACAGTCTCTACACATCACACGCACACACGCACACCCTGCACATCGTTTTTGTTACGTATTGGGCGCTCTCGTACCGCTTGCATATACATATCTACATGTGTAAGCATGTGTATATATATAGAGAGAGAGAGAGAGAGAGAGAGAGAGAGCCGGCGAGATAGAGAACGACGATGAGGAAGCCAAGGACGAGGATGACGAGGAGGAGGACAGGGAACGGCAGGAAGAGGATATTCTCCCACTAAGTTTCCTTCGGGGAGGGAGCTGAACTGCCCTCGACGACTATGCCTGGGTATATCTTATAGCAAGACATATTCGCCAGCTTAGACCCCAAAGAGTGGGTCATTGCATTGTGGCGATGGAAGGTATGTTGTGCAAGTTATGTGATGTAAGCTATGATATTGCTGTGTAAATTGCGGTGTGAGCTATGCTGGGCAAGCTATGTTGTGTAAGCCATGCGGTGCCAGCTATGGTGATTGACGTTCATTTGTGTTGGCTAATGGTCTATACGATGTGGTGTAGGGCATATGGTGTAAGCTATGTGTTGCGAGCTGTATGGCGTGAGCTATGTTGTGCAAGCCATGTGGCGTGCGCTATGTGGTGTGGTCGATATTGTATACCATTGGCAGTGCGAGATACGATGCTAGCGCTGAGCAGCGCAGACTCTGTGGTGTGCACGGTGATGTGAACGCCGTGCTGTGCGACCGATCTGGAGAGTGAGTCGTGCTGTGTCCTCTGTGTGGCGTGAGCTGCTCCCCAATGGGGGGGCATTGTTCCTAGGCTCGATGCGGCACCTCCCCCCGCTTTGGCCGCGAGCCTTCTTTGGGCCCCCCTCTCCCTCCTCTTGCCCTGAAGAAGGGGCGCTCTCCCAAGAGCGGCTCGCTGCGGGGGGTCCCCTGCCCCATCCTCGTCGGCATGGCTTGCGCTGTGCCGTGCAAGTGCGCACGGGGGCGCCCACGGGGCGCCCGCGGGGCGGGCAACGGGCGCCAACGGGGCGCCACCTGGGGACCTCGCCCGCCGCACGGGGCGCCCGCGAGAGGGCGCGGGCGCCCACGCGGCGAGCGCCCGGGACAGCCGAGCCGACGGCTCCGGAAATTCAGGTGTTGACGCTACGCGCATCCCCACCAGCAGGTTGGCTCTGACGCCCTGGGTCGCTGCCGCCCGCCGCCTGACCGCGGCCCCGCGCGCGCTCCCCTTAGTCGCGGCCGCAGCCCGACCGTGACCGCCTGCCGCTGGCGCTTCCGCCTGCGGCTGTAAGAAAAAAAAAATCCCCACCAGCCCTGGCAATTTGATGCATGTCGGTGATGGTGGGCCGCTTCCGACCTCCTGGCCCTGGCGCCCCCAGCTCACCGCAGCGCAGCTCGGCGGCTTAGGCAGCTTAGGTTTGACCCCGCGCTCTAGTTTGCTGCTCGCTGTAAATTAGTAAGGACCGCACCCCGGACTTACCGACCCGCCGCCTGCGCCTTCGCTTGCGGCCGCGACCAAAAAAACATCCCCACCGGCCCATCCGGAGACGATGCCCAGGGGAGTTGGGGCGATCAGGGAAGAGGGGGAGCATGCAGAAGAACAAAGGGCGGGGGACGCCGTCACATACCTCAAAAGGGGGAGGATGGAGGAGGAATCGTCGTCGGAGGAGGAGGAGGGGGAGGAAGAGGAGGTCCTCTTGAAGCCTGTTGGGGGCCTCTTGGGAGCCTCTTCAAGGCCTCTTGGGCGCGTCTTGGGGCCCTCCTGGGCGCATCTTGGGGCCCTCCTGGGCCGCTCTTGGGAGCTTCAGGGGCGCTCTTAGGGCCATCTTGGAGGGCATCGATCACAAAAGAGGAGTTTCAATCAGCTTCTCCCCTTGGGAGCACCGAACATCGCCTACTGGACCCTTCTTGGAGCGCTCTTGGGCCGCTCTCGGGCGCTCTGTGGGCCGTCTTGGGGCTGTATTGGGCCTCTCCTCTGATTTCCCCTAGGTGTTTGAAGGATTTTGGCTTAGTGGGGGCCTCCTGGGAGGTCTCTGACGCCTCTTTGAGCCGTCTTGGAAGGTTCTTGGGGCCTCTTGGAGCATCTTGGGAACAATATTTAGGCATCGTGCGCCATCTTCGAGCTCACCTTGGGACTCTCAGGGGCCCTCTTGGGCCGTCTTGGGCAATCTTGGACGCTCCGACCGCTCGCGAACCCCCCCCCCCGTCCAGGTCCAGGGGAGGGGATAGGGGGAGGGGTCAAGCTGCCCACCCGCCCGCAAGCCGTCTAGCTCATCCCCACCCGCCCTCCCAACCCATACGTAACACCCGAGCCTGAGCATGATCAGCGGTCGTTTTTGGATGGACAGCTCCTGGGAACCAAAGCCGGCCCCAGGTGCGCAACGCTTGGGCGAGGTGCGCCACGCGTGCCAGGGGCGCCACGCGCGGCAGGCACCCCTGGGGCCCGAGCGGGCCAGGCACGCCTGATGCGCCAGATGCGCCACGTGCTCCGAGTTCGCCGGGTGTGCCGCACACTCCAGCCGCGCCAGGTGCGCCACGTTCGGGGCACGTGCAGGGTGCGTCAGCTGCGCCTGCGCGCGTGACAGCACACATCGGGAAACATGTCGGCCCCCGCCATCCTTGTCGAAAACCAATGCCCATCATTGTGACTGGCTTGCCTGCGCACAGCAGGCGACGTGCCATCCCTGAGACAAACAATACAACGTGTTCGCGGGCCTCACGAACATGATTCAAGATTTTGTCCCAGAGTGTAAATGTATCTTGTATTTTTGGGGGCAGGGATGGTGTGTGGGCGGGGGGGGGGCGCATCGTGTTGGCAAAGCATGTTCCAAATGTGGAGGCAGAGTGCGTTTTGCATTGATTTCTGACAGGGATGATGGGGGGGGCCGCATGGGGTCGGCATGGTTCCGGGTTGGCCGCCGGCCAAGGTGGGGGGGGGGGGTGTATATATCAATATGGAATTGTGATAAGCCCTTCCCCGAACGGGACCACGGGGATTGGAAAAGGAGCCGCCCTAGACCACCTACGCCCAGAGGGCTAGTGGGAAAGAACCTCTAAGTGCAAGCATTGCCCCTTCGTCCTCTGTCGCCCACTCTGTGTACATGGGTACGTTTGCCTGACGGCACGCGCGCGCGATCGTGCTCGAGGGAACCCGGACATTTGCATACGAGTCAGTGTTCTAAGGTCTTCGCGCCTAAGACGGAGATGAGCGAGACGTACAACCGCGCGTCCGCGGCCGCGGACGAGGAGCGAGCTCCGGGAGAAGAGCCGGCCACCTCCGACTCGGGCGAGGGGAGGGAGAGGCGAGCAGGGCTCGAGGCGAGAACGAAGAGCCCGAAGCGAGGGAGAGCCCGAAGGGAGGGAGAGCCCGAAGGGAGGGAGAAAGGAGGGCGAGGAGAGGAGAGGCACGAGGAGAGGAGGGCACGAGGCGAGGGGAGGGCACGAGGGGCACGAGGAGAGGAGGGCGAGGGCGAGGAGAGGAGAGGCACGAGGAGAGGGAGGCCCGACGGGAGGGACGGGCGGGACGAGAAGGGAGACGTCACAGCGGGGGCGCGCGCGCGCATCACGGAACCGCAGGCCTTTCGCCTGAGCTTTTTTGTTGGGTTCCTCCTTGCGTGCGTTGGGCGGTGGCTTCGCCCAGCCGCACCGTGGGGACGGGAGGTCTGAATTAGGTTTATCCGTAAGGGCTCTCTGGGAGAATGGGCCATGGAAGAGCTAAGTCATGAGGCCTTGGCGCTGTCGTGAAGCAGTATCGAAGTTTCATGCGAAGCCGATTCGCAATCAGCAAAACCAACTGATCACAAGAGGGGTTACCACACCTGGCGATTGGTAAGACGTGTATGGTTTACGGGCTTGGTTACCACACCTTGCGATTAAAGGGCCGAGGGAGTTCTCGCAGTTTGGGTTACCACGCCTTGCGATGGATGTGCGTGAAGGGTGGCACCGAATTTCAGAAATGTGGCAAATCCCCTGTGTTTTTGGACCCTGACCCCGCGGATCTGCGTGAGGGGTGGCACCGAATTTCAGAAATGTGGCAAATCCCTGTGTTTTTGGACCCTGACCCCGCGGATCTGCGTGAGGGGTGGCACCGAATTTCAGAAATGTGGCAAATCCCCTGTGTTTTTGGACCCTGACCCCGCGGATCTGCGTGAGGGGTGGCACCGAATTTCAGAAATGTGGCAACTCCCTTGTGTTTTTGGACCCTGACCCCGCGGATCTGCGTGAGGGGGGGCACCGAATTTCAGAAATGTTGCGAATCCCCTGTGTTTTTGGACCCTGACCCGGCGGATCTGCGTGAGGGGTGGCACCGAATTTCAGAAATGTTGCAAACCCTATGTTTTTGGACCCTGACCCCGCGGATCTGCGTGAGGGGTGGCACCGAATTTGAGAAATGTGGCAAATCCCATGTGTTTTTGGACCCTGTCCCCGCGGATCTGCGTGAGGGGTGGCGCCGAATTTCAGAAATGTGGCAAATCCTCTGTGTTTTTGGACCCTGACCCCGCGGATCTGCGTGAGGGGTGGCACCGAATTTCAGAAATGTGGCAACTCCCCTGTGTTTTTGGACCTGACCCCGCGGATCTGCGTGAGGGGTGTCGATTTCGAGCCCCCCCAGCAATTCAGACAACGCGCCCAGGGGGTGCTAAAAAGCCGGTTTGGGCCTCCCCCCCCTCGCGCGGTCAATCAACTAGTTACAGTAACCAGCAATAAGTCAATTAGTTACAGTAACCAGCAAGAAGCAGAACTGTAACACTGGAAACTACAAGCTACAACTGGTACAGGAAACTGCGAACCTCGCTCCTACAGCCTGGTGGGGCCCCACAAGGGAGCCGGCGGATTGCGAGGGTGTCCTGTGTCCGCGTCCGCATTCTTGAGGCAGGAGGAAAGAAACGAAGGGCAGCGAGGGGTCGAAGGGGGGAAGGGGAGCGCGGAGAACATCACGGCAGGGAGCAGACGGAAAGGGCACAGGCCCAAGCGTGTTCGTCCCTTTCCCCGTTTCCCCCATACTTTTTTTCCGTGCCTCCCCCCCCCCCTTCTTTTGCAAGCCTAGACACTGGCCGCGCGAAGCATTGTGTTGGGGTCATCCTGGACGCTTCGCGTGGCCCAGCCAGCCCATGCACAGGCGATGCCCAGGCGAGTTGCGTTGATCAGGGCAGCACAGAAGGAGAACAAAGATGGGTGGGGGCAGCCGTCGAACCGAAGGCCCAGGAGGAGGAGGAGGAGGAAGAGGAGGAGGGAGGAGGAGGAAGACGAGGAGGAGGAGGAGAAGAAGGAGGAGGAGGACGAAGATGAGGAGGGGGGGAGGAGGAGGAGGAGGAGGAGGAGGACGAGGAGGAGGAGGAGGAGGACCTTTCCGAGTGGACCCAGGAATCACCCAGTAATGCATCCTCGGATTTTTCTGGGCCCTATTGTTGCCATTTGGGACGCGGTTGGGCTCTCTTGGAGCTCTCTTTGGAGCAGTTCGGGTCCTCTTGGGGCCACCTTGAAGAATCGGTCGAAGAAAGAAGAACTCAGCTAGCATCGCCCCTCTGGAGGCTGTAATGTTCCCTCTCGGAGTCTCCATTTCTCAGGGCTTTCTCGGGTCATCTAGGAGCCATCTTGAGGTACCGGAAGCGACAAGGCAATTGCCTTGATCATCAGTTTCCCGCAAGTTTGGAAAAGGCTATCCGAGGGAGTACATGCTCCCGCCCCCAGGAAGATTCGAGGGGGGGACAATAGCCTCCTTCCCGCGAAGCCCATCGCACCCAGCATCGTGCACTCTTGGGAGAGGATCTTGCTGCCCGACAGATGCAGACATTGTTGCCGCCCGCTTCGGAGGAGACAACTCAGCATAAGCATATCCTTTCGGAGGTCCGCGCAGGCGCCGAAGATGGCCCCCAAGATGGCCCAAGATGTCCCCAAGTTGCTTCCAAAACGGCCAAGATGGCCCCAAGAGAGCCCAAGATGGCCCCAAGATGCATCTAAGACGGCCCAAGATGAACCCAGGATGCCCTCAAGATAGCCTTGCGTTCGTTTTCTTATTCATTGTTTTGCCGATTGGCGCGGGACCTCGCACCCCCCCCCGACCCCCCCATGGAGTAAGATCTTGGCTGTTTGGGGCGCCTGTTTCATGCAGGTGGAGTCTCCCTCCTAGGACGCACTGCTGCACACAGTCGCATCAAGCAGAGGTCCGGAGCCAGACACCCCTCCGCCCAGAGTCGAAACGCCGGAAGTCCCGGAACTCAGGAGTTCCAGGTTCCGAAGGCATCTCCCATGAAAAACCCTGAGCTTTGGATTTCGAGATTCTCGACGGGGAAACGGAGTTGGGTGATCGACAACCCATATCTCCAGAGTTCTGGGTTTCCATTCTTGGATTCCCGGTTTTTCCTCCTCCCCCCCCTCTCTCCTCCCCTTCTTTCCCTCGGGTTGACCCTAAAGGGAGTCCAGCGACAAGGGGGTGGTGCAATAGATTTGGTGCAATAGATTCGTGGGGTTGCAATACATTTGAGGTGTGCAATACATTCTGGGCCGCAAATGTGTTGATGCATGTTCGCGTGCAATACATTACTTGCAATACAATGCAATACAATTCTCCGGAGCAGTACACCTGCAACACAACTGCCCCAAACCTATCGCACCACCCCCTTTCAGCTGGGCCCCCTTTTTTGGGGTCACCCAAAGTTTTCATTCTTGGAATTCCAGTTTTTCCTCTCCTCCCCCCCTCCCTCCCTCCTCCCCCTCCCCCTCCCGAGGCAGAGGCCCAGGCGCGCCTCCTGCGCTTGCGCCGCCAGCTGCGCCAGCGGCAGCTGCAGCTCGACCGCGAGCTCTCCGCGTCGGCGGCCTCAGCCGCGCCCCTCGTCGTCTTTGCCGCCGCCGACCTGCCCCTCCCACTTTCCCCCCGAGAGGGATGATAAGAAGTCGGGCCTGTCCCTCTACAGGGGGAATCATCAAAAGTAGTACAAGAATGGTCTGGGGACGATTTGCGGCGTTTTCTTTGACTATTTAGGTTTTTGATGTGTTCAATTTGTCACCCAAAATCCGCCTGTAGGGGGCACGCCCGACCTAATTATTGATGTATCGATTTGTATATACATATGTATACGTGTATACATATAGTTTATATATACACACATCTGTATACATATAGGGATGTACATGTATATGCGCATGTCTGTGGCACCCCGCAGTTGCGGATAAGAGTGAGAGTTCGGTCGCGGGTTGGGCCCCGGGTGGGTTTCGGGGTGGGTCGTGGGCTGGGTCGTGGGTTGGTCGCGGGGGGGGGTCTCGGGGGTGGACGACGACAACAACAACCGCAAACAGCAGCAAACAACAAACAACGTGCAGAGCCCTGGCCACGGAGTCCCACTTCACCCACGCATGCAGGGATGTGTTGTAAGCCCAATTGGCCCCGGCGTCCTAGTATAGAGAGAACTTGGCGAAACGTCGCTGGACCCACCTGGCGCGCGGGGCGGCCACGGGCAGCCACGTGGCGAAACCTCGCCAGACGCCCCCAGCGCACGAGGCGGCCACGAGGCGGCCACGGGCGGCAATGCAGAAAATCCTCGCCGGACCTATCGTATGCCTCATGCAGAAGCAATGCCCCCTGAGTGCAAGCATGCTTTGGGGTACATAAACACGAACGTGAACTTGCGGAGGTCCGCATGGATTCCATTGGATCTGTGCTGGCTCCCCCTCTTCCACCTCCTCCAGGGGAGAAAACGGCAGCTGGCACGAAGGTTAAGAACAACGCCAGCTCTGGAGGGATCTCAGTTAATCACGTGTTCTCCGTTAGCCGTCCGTGGGGGCCCAGTTGGGGCTTCTCTTGGCGGGTCCAGAGGCCGCCGGGGGGCGACGCACGGGTGCGCGCGAGGCCGAGCATCAAGCAGCACTTGATGGTTGCCAGCGGTCCGAGGTGCGTTCCGCTGCTCTGGTGTTTCCGGCGATGTTGTCTGTTCTCACTCTTTGCGCTTCTCCTGCGTGTCGGCCCCTGGGGCCCATTCTTGCGGGGGACATGCCCAACCTAACCCTATCTGCATGGAGACGTCTGTCATCGCCCCCGCCCTCCGTGGCTGCGTGCGCGCTCCTGCTCCCGCCTCCTCGTGCTTCAGATTCCTCAGCTTTCCTTCTCTCCGTCTCCTTCCCTTTCTCATTTCCCCCCCCTTCCTCTCCCCTGCCTCCTCGTCCTCATCCTCCTCCTCTTCCTCCTCCTTTCTCGCCTCCCCTCCGTTCCCTCCCACCTCAGCTTCCTCTCGCCTCCCCCTCACCCACCCACCCACCCACCCACCCCTCCTCTACCTCCTCCTCCTCCTCCTCCTCATCCTGGAGCCGCACTGCCACGGAGGCTCAGGAACAGACCTTCTTCCAGCGTCACTTCGCACGGCCCAGCAGACTACGGTAATGTCGGGTGTCGCAGACAGCATCCGTGTTGGCGGGGATTAGAACGCATACGAGTCGAATAGAGGCGCACAGGTTCGTCAACAGAACGTGGAAGCTGACGTCGCCCAAATCAGAGAGATTTTGAATGAGGCCGAACAGGTACAGCACGTCATGTACATCTGGAGACAGCGTGCATGTATGCGTACCTGTATATGTGTACATATGCAGACATGCGTAACTGCATGCGTGTATGAATGTACGTATGCAAGTATTTATGTATGTATGGATGCATGCATATCTATGTATGGATGTATATGGATATGTATATGTATACACACACGTTTGTATATATGCATGTGTTTATGTAAGTATGTATGCATGTATGTTTGTGTTTGCGCATGTGTATGTCCGTACTGGAGGGCGGTCGGCATGTTTGTATGTATGTATGTACGCATGCACGCATGCATGTATGTATGTTTGCAGCTGGTTGCGTTATATGTTTGCATGCCAGTCTGTAAGTTTGGATGTGCGCATGTGTGCATGCATGTGTTTGTGTATGTGTATGTGTGCATGCTTGTATATATGTACGTGCTTTCTGTATGTTTGCGAGTTTGACTGTATGCATGTAGTTAGGTAGGTCTGCCTGCGTGTCTGTATGTCTGTAGTTATGTATGCATGCATGTATATATTTATGCATGCCTGTCTGTCTGTCTGTCTGTATGCATGAATGTATGTATGCATGTATGTATGTATGTATGTATGTATATCTACACATATTTACAAGGGGTTGTGTGTAGTACCCTCCCGCAGCATCCCCCAGCATCCAAACGCGTCTCCTCCTCGACGTCGTCCTGCCCCCTCCGTATTCCCCCCTCCCTCCTCCCCTCTTCTCCTTTGCCTCCATCCTCCTCGTTCCCTTCCTCCTCGCCACCCTGGTCCACGTCGTTTTTCTCCCTCATTCCGTCCTTATCCTTCTTTTTGCTCATCCGCTCTTGCATGGCCTGCCGTCTCTGCCACTCTCTTTCTCCTCCTACTCTTCCTCCTCCTTCCTTCTTTCCCCATTTTCTGCCCTCGTCGTTGTCGCTATCTTGCTCTTGATTTTCTCTCCCTATCCTCGAATTCGAGGTCTCTCCTCGTCGTCTTCGTCGTCCTTTTGGGTAGCTTCGTGCTCCGGGAAGGGCTCTACACAACGTATGCATTTAACGTCGTTAGGCTGCAGTCACATCCGAAATCACAGCCCACCCATAGACATCATCATCATACGCTTCGTCAAACGTATCCATGTCATGAGCAAGGGCAAGTTCATCATCGCCACCGCCTTTGTGGTAATTGTCGTCCCTATACCCCTTTCATCGTCGTCATCGTCCGCATGTTCATTATTATCACCATGTTCATTTCCAACGTCATCATCCAGCGCATTGCCAGTAGTACCATCATCGCGGTATGTATCGTCTTCATCGCCATCATCGCCCTGATTCTCGCCCCGATTCCCGCCCTGATGCTTGTCATGACCCTCATCGTCGTCATGCGCATCATCGTCGACATCATCATGAAACGATTATCATCATACGATTTACATAGTCATAGTCATAGTCATCCAAACCATCATCAGTCCCGTAACCCTCAACATTCATACCCTCAGCATCGCCATCTGGGTAGGGCCAGGAGTGAACAGCGGCCAGGCTAGGGAGGGGAATCTTCGGGCTGAAGTCATATCCAAAGTCATAGCCCAACCGTCTGCATTTCACTGGGAGCTGGGATTCCAGAAAAATTGAGCGCGCGCGAAGCTCGCGCGATGGTTCTTGTATTCATTGATGGGTACATCGATATAACAATTCTGGACTCCTGCTGGTCCCATCCACCGCCACAGGTGAAATCGCAGAAGATTCATCACCCTCAGTCCCCAAGGTTCCCCGAGTCTTCCTCTCGGAAAAGAAACGGAGCTCAGGGATACATTCCTGAGGGGCTATTCGGACGCACCCCTATCGACCTATCGAGGATGGACGCCCCCCAATCGTGCATTCCCGAATTTTGCAACAGATTCACGGTCCAGCTGGATATTTCACACAGTCGGGAGTTCCGGTCTTCATGCCCCCAAGTTTGCGACAATTGTTGCTCAAGATCAAAATTGAGAATTGATTGCCGCAAGGAGGGAGTAGCCGGACGGGGCTATGACAGGGATACATCGCTTCAGAGCGTTCTGGAATGCTGGAGCATGCCGCGGCGCCCGATGTGTCTTCCAGAACCTCTGGATCTCAGAGATGTCTGATTCAACCGTGGCCTCACTTACATTGCATCTTCGGGGGACCTCGTCTGTCCCCAGAATTCGTCTGACAGTTGAGCAGTCGCTTGCCCTGCTGTCATTGTTCATTGCGCACATGTTTTTCGGACTCCCGCCCCCCCTTGACCCAAGGCAGATAACAAGTATAGGGCACGCGCTTAAGCTCCTTAGCCTCAAGCCAAAATGTGTCCAGAGTTTAGTTTGAAGCATCGCCGCTGAAGACGGGGGCGTGGCTCATGATCGTGGACTCTTTGAATCCTCTTGGGGGTACTCTTGGAGTTTTTTGTGGGCCTCTTCGGAACTTGTTCGGACTTCTTTGGCGCTTCGTGGGCGTATCTTGGGGCCTCCTGGTGGCCTCTTGAAGCTAAACGCTCGAACTGTCAGTTCGTGCTCCCACCCTCAGGTCCTTCTTGGCCCCTCTTGGAGCGTCTTTGATGTTTCTAGGGCCGTCTTGGGGTCCTCTTGGGCCGTCTTGGGGCGCTCTTGGGAGCCTCTTGGGTCGTCTGGGAGCGATCTTGAGGGCGTCTAGGGCCAGCTCGGAGCGTCGGAAGCACGACAAAACGCAACAGAGCGAGACAGATTTATATGCATAGCATGCAGTGGGGATCCATGATTTTAGCCTCTTAGAGCCCTCTCGGCCGTCCCCTGAGAGCTCAAATGGGCGGTCTTGGAGGCCTTGTGGACCATACTGAGGCCATCGTGAGTCGGATTGGGTGGAGATGGACCGTCTTGGGAGCGCGAGGAAGCAGTATGTGGGTCTTCTGGAGCCAACTTATCCGTCCTGGAGACTTCAAAGAACCGCAAGACCGTAAGAAAGCCCATCTCGGAGCCGCCAAGACGCCCCTGAAGAGTTCGGATCCCCACATGACGCGTCCCCCGGGGAAGCCGTCCCAGGCCCAGAGAGGGAGGGGGATGGGGTGTCAAATTAGCAGTTTGGGTTTCACGGGGGTGGATTATGGGGGGGGGGCCTTTCACACACGCCGGACAACCCCGGAAGGAGTCGGCGCACGTTTTCAATGCGCGGCCACAGAGGGCCCAACCTCTTCCTTGGGACGGTGTTTCGCCCCGGATCTGATGTTGATGGTTCCAGGGCCCGATGGGCCCCAGAGCAAGAACGCCAGAGATTTTCTAGGCCGCCTAAATGAGGTCGGAATAGTTGGGGTCGGAGGATCGAGCCGCATCGCCGATGCATCGTCGATGCATCGGCGATGCGGCTCGATGTGGGGCCCAATTTTCTCCACGCCGACGTCGCCGATGCACCGCCGACGTCGCCAGTGCATCGCCGATGCATTGACGATATATTGGCGATGTATCGGCGATGCGGCGAGATCCTCCGACCTTGTCCACTCCGACCCCATCCAGGAGGCCTCTAGATTTGGGGCTGGAGGAGCCCGCGCGGCCCCAAGAGGAACCAAGGCGCCCCGAGATGTCCGAAGAGGGCTCCAACACGGCCCCACGGAGGCCCAAGGGGGTCACAGGTGGCCCTTCGTAGGCCCGAGGGTTCGCAGCGAGGCCACAAGACAGCCCTAAGAGGGTCACATGAGAGGCCTACGAAAGAGGAGGAAATGGTGGAGGGAGAGGAGGAGGAGGAGGAGGAGGAGGAGGAGGAGGAGGAGGAGGAGGAGGAGGAGGAGGGGGGGAGGACGAGGAGGAGGAGGAGGAGGGGGAGGAGGGCAAGGAAAGTAGAGGAGGAGGAGGGGAGGAGAGGAGGAGGAGGAGGAGGAGGAAGGGAGGAGGAGGAGGAGGAGGAGGAGGAGGAGGAGGAGGAGAGATGGAGGAGGAGGAGGAGGAGGAGGAGGAGGAGGAGGAGAGGAGGAGCATTGGACGCCCCCCATAAGGGGGGAGAGAGAGAGAGAGAGAGAGAGAGAGAGAGAAAAAAAGAAAGAGAGAGAGAGAGAGAGTCCAAGGTGCCCCTCTTCAGAGGGGAACTTTTTGTCACCCAGGGGTGGTGGCGGAAACCACCACTGGGGCCAGCGACGGTGGGGCACCCTGGGCTTCAAAAAACAGGTCGTCTTCAGGACGACGATGAGGAGAAGGAGCAGGAGCAGGAGGAGGAGGAGGAGGAGGAGGAGGAGGAGGAGGGGAGGAGGAGGAGGAGGAGGACGGGGAGGAGGAGGAGGAGGAGGAGGAGGAGGAGAAGAAAGGAGGAGGAGGAGGAGGAGGAGGATCGGACGCCCATAAAGTGAGAGAGAGAGAGAGAGAGAAAGAAAGAGCGAGAAGAGAAGAGAGAGAGAGAGAGAGTCCAAGGTGCCCCTCTTCAGAGGGGAACTTTTTGTCACCCAGGGGTGGTGGCGGAAACCACCACTGGGGCCAGCGACGGTGGGGCACCCTGGGCTTCAAAAAAACAGGTCGTCTTCAGGACGACGACGAGAGGAGGAGGAGGAGGAGGAGGAGGAGGAGGAGGAGGAGGAGGAGGAGGAGGAGGAGGAGGAGGAGGAGAAGGAGGAGGAGGAGGAGGAGGAGGAGACGAGGAGGAGGAGAGGAGGAGGAGGAGGAGGAGGAGGAGGAGGAGGAGGAGGAGGAGGAGGAGGAGAGGAGGAGGGGAGAGGGAGGAGGAGAGGAGGAGGAGGAGGAGGAGGAGGAGGAGGAGGGAGGAGGAGAGGAGGAGGAACAGGAGGAACAGGAGGAACAGGAGGAGGAGGGAGAGGAGGAGGAGGAGGAGGAGGAGGAGGAGGAGGGCGAAGAAGAAGGAGGATTAGTAGGCAAGGGAGGAGAGGAGGAGGAGGAGGTGGAGGAGGAGGAGGAGGAGGAGGAGGAGGGGGATGAGGGGGAGGAGGAGGAGGAGGAGGAGGAGGAGGAGGAGGGGAAGGAGAGGGAGGGGGAGGGCCAGGGTTTGCGGGAGGAAGCCCGCTCCTCCTTGTGTCGGTCTCGCTGGTCCCTCTGTTGCCCGCTCTCGCATGTGCTACCTCATCATGACCATGTGTCAACATACGTGTACATTAAGTCGGGCGTGTCCTTCTGCAGGATGAATACTCAAACATAGTAAAACAATAGTCTGGGCACGATGGCGTGGGTTTGTGTTGGCTATGTTTGGGCATGTGTTGGATACTGTTGATCCACATCCCATTGTAGGGAGGGCATACCCGACCTAAATGTACATGCATAGAGATATATGTCACACCCCTCTTTCCCTCAATCCTCAGCCCTGCTCCTCGAAGTTCTTGGAAGCCCTCCCCATAATGTACAGCCGTACTTCATTGTCCCGTGTCCCCCCGCGTTCTCCTATCCATCGTCCTCATTTCTCTTTTCGAGATCCCTCCTCCTCCCCACAGTTGTTATCGTCATTGCCCCCGTCATAGAGTCGTCTCACTTCCCGTTCGTCCGCCCTCCCTCCCTCTCTTCTCGCGGTAATCTTCCATCCTCTTCCCCCCTGCATTCTCATTCCCCCATCGTACGTCCTCCTCCCTCTTGCGTCCTCCCTGTTGTTGCACCATCCTTCTTCTGCAGCCATCCTCGTTCTTCTCTCTGCCCTCCTCCCTCACTCTTTTCAAATCGGGCCTGTCCCTCTACAGGAGGAATACTCATGAATCGTTGAACAAATAGTCTTGGGACGAGTTTTTGTTTTTATGTTTGAGCATTTGGGGCGTATGGTTTCGGGTATTCTCATTGTTCGCCCAAAATCCCCCTGTAGGGGACAGGCCCGACCTACCACTCGTTCGAGGCCCCCTCTCTTGCCCCCCACAACGCCTCAAGAGCAGTCCCACTATTCAAAATTCTTCACGCTTCGCGTATCCCCACCAGCCCATCTCAACACAGCAACTCTTGCGAAGCATGCCGACAGTCGTGTTTGTCAGGCGTGTGTCCGCTTGCCCTCGTCGTGGTGTGAGTCGTTCGGGCTCCTCGTGGTGTGAGTCGTTCGGGCGCCTCGTCTTGGTGTGAGGCGTTCGGGCCCTTCCTTGTGGTGTGACTCGTTCGGGCTCCTCGTGGTGTGAGTCGTTGGGGTCTCTCGTCCTGGTGTGAGTCGTTCGGGCTCCTCGGTGGGCCTGTTGGGGGCCTCTTGGAGCTCTGGGGGCGTCTTTGGCGGCCTCTTGGGGGCGTCTTGGGGGCCTCTTGGGGGGCCTCTTGGGGGGCCTCTTGGGGCCTCTTGGGGGCCTCTGGGGAGCCTCTTGGGGACCTCTAGGGGCCTCTGGGGGCAACTTGGGGGCCTCCTGGGGGCCTCTTGGGAGCCTCCTGGGGGCCTCTTGGGGCTATCTTGGGGCCTCTTGCGACCTCCTCAGAAGCGCTAATAAGCGCTGACCACTGGGAATGACAAAATCAGGCCAAAACCGTAGTAACATCAATGATTTTGCTAAGAAGGACGAGGAACGCGACCCCCTCAGAAGGCCAAAATGGTGCCAAAACCGTAGTACAATCAATGTTTTTTTACTTCAACGACGAGTTCAGGGACCAAACTCCCCCCCCCCCCCCCTCGGGGCCAGAATCCTCGTGAGGGTCGTCGTTGTTTGGCCCTCCCAGGAATCGAAAAAGACCCCTCCAACGACCCGCGGGGCGCCCTCTCCAGGTCCAGGGGGAGGGGGTAGGGGGAGGGGTAAACCCCTCCCCGAAGGGGAAGAAGGGGGGTTGAGGACAGAGGGAGCTCTCTAAACCACTCACGCCCAAAGGGCTGGTGGGATTCTAGTAGTAGTAGGATTAGTTGGTGTGGTCGTAGGAGGAGTCGCAGTATGAGTAGTAGTAATAGTCGTAGTCATAGTAGTGGGAGCAGGTATAGGTGTAGCAGATGGAGTGGTGCCATGAGTACGCCGAGATGTCGTAGTAGTAACTCCAGGTATAGTGGAAGTAGAAATCGTCGTAGTACCAGTATCAATACCAGTAGTAGTACACGTACAAGTAGTAGTAGTAGTAGTAGTAGTAGTAGTAGTAGTAGTAGTAGTAGTAGTAGTAGTAGTAGTAGTAGTAATAGTAGTAATAGTAGTAGTAGTAGTAGTAGTAGTAGTAGTAGTAGCGTAGTAGTAGTAGCAGTAGTAGTAGTAGTAGTAGTCAGTAGTAGTAGTAGTAGTAGTAGTAGTAGTAGCAGTAGTAGTAGTAGTAGTAGTAGCAGTAGTAGTACGAGTAGTGGTAGTGGTAGTAGGAGAAGCAGTACGAGGAATAGCACTAGCAGTAGCAGTACCAGTAGCAGTAGCAGTAGCAGTCGTTCGGGATAATCGTGGTGTGAGTCGTTCGGGCCCCTCGTCCTGGTGTGAGTCGTTCTAGAAGTAGCAGTACCAGTAGCAGTAGCAGTAGCAGTCGTTTGGGCTAATCGTGGTGTGAGTCGTTCGGGCCCCTCGTCCTGGTGTGAGTCGTTCGGGCTCCTCGTGGGGCCTCTTGGGGGACTCTGGGAGCCTCTTGGGGCCTCTTGGGAGCCTCTTGGGAGCCTCTGGGGGGGCCTCTTGGGGGCCTCTTGGGGCCTCTTGGGGCCTCTGGGGGGCCTCTTGGGGGCCTCTTGGCGGCCTCTTGGGACCGCTGGGGCGCCTCTGGGGGGCCTCTAGGACGCCTCTTGGGAGCCTCCTGGGAGCCTCTGGAGGCCATCTTGGGGCCTCTTGCGACCTCCTCGGAAGCGCCAATGAGAGCTGCCCCCTGAAAAGAACAAAATGAGCCCAAAACCTTCGTAAAAGCAATGATTTTGCTATGAAGGACGAAGCCAGAAAACATGAGGCCAAAACCGTAGTAAAATCAATGATTTTGGCTTTCAAGAAGAGCAGAGGGGCCAAAGTGGTTCCCCCCGTCGGGGCCAGAATCCTCGTGAGGGTCGTCGTTTTTTGGCCCTTCCAGGAGTCAAAAAAGACCCCCCTGACCACGCTCGGCCCGCCCTCTCCAGGTCCAGGGGGAGGGGGTAGGGGGAGGGGTAAACCCCTCCCCGAAGGGGAAGAAGGGGGGTTGAGGACAGAGCGGGCTCTCTAAACCACTCACGCCCAAAGGGCTGGTGGGACTCCGTGCATGTCTCGAGGTGCTTGAATGATATTTGCCGTTTCCCCTTGCCAGATTTATTGCCCCCCAGCACGGCCCCATGGATGTCCACCTCCCCGATACGTCCTCGTCTTGCTCACTTTTCTGGCCATTCCGGCATGGCTCCTCGTCTTTTTGTCAGCCTTGTTACGAATGATGATGGTGTTATCATTATTGTCCGTTGTCCGTTCTGAATCAAGCTGCCATGTCAAGGCAGAGTTTGAAAGCAGAGGAGCCACACGTTTGTGACGTGGCTTGACTGGCGCCATGACCGCCCTGCGCACATTGCCGGTGTTCTGGGCAGCGTTCCATTTTGTTGGCGCACCTGGAAAGCTCAGCGGCGGCGTTGCCAGGCCGCAGTCTCCACCAATGGGCTGGCGTTCGTGGAACGTTTTCCAGTGCAGCGTGAGCCAGGAAATCATTGAGCAGCAGATGGACGCCTTGATGGCGAAGCGGGCCGTCGATGGTGTCCAAACAAGCCTTCTGGACCTCGGCTACAGCGACTTGGGTTTGGACGACTGCTGGCAAGTGTGTGACGCGAAGGGCGAGTCATTCCACGACCCTGATACAGGCATGGCGATCATAAACACAGAACTTTTCCCAGACATGGAGGGCATGGTCAGTTATGGCCACATGAGAGGCTTGCAAGTGGGCTTCTATGTCAACAACTGCTTTTGCCACGAGCACGGACAGCCGACACATTATGCAGAGGATGCAAACCTCACTGTTAAATTAGGTTATGATTCTGTGAAGATTGATTCGTGTGGCAACCAGAGAGACATGACTGAGTGGCTGCGCGAATTCGAGTCTCTTGGCAAGACTCTCATGGTTGAGTCGTGTGGCAACGGCCCGCCCGGATCTCAGCCCAAACATGATGCGATTCCATCGACAGCTTGGTTGGAGATGATCAACAACACTTGCCCCTTCTCCTTCTATCGCGTCTCTGACGACATTGCGCCGCAGTTCCTCTCGACGATGTACAATCTCAATCGCCTGGTGCCGTATCTGGGAGCTTCCCCACTCTCGCGCCCTGGCTGTTGGGCCTATCCGGACATGCTGGAGGTGGGCGTGAGGCTGAGCGAGGCCGAGGCTCGTACGCACTTCGCGGCATGGTGTGTCACGTCTTCTCCGCTCATCCTCGGCTTCGATCTCTCGGACTCGCAGAAGGTGGACGCAGTGTGGCACATCATTGCCAACCGAGAGGCCCTCGGGGTGAGCCAGACCTGGGCGGGGCACCCCGGGCGCCTCGTGGCCAACTCCAGCAGGTACTTCGAGGCCGTCTGCGAGATCGGCGCCGCTGGTGCCGTCACCGCTCCGTGCACCATGAGGGGAACAAAAAGTGGCATACAGTCGGGGCCTTGAAGAAGGAACCCTTTCCGTTGGGGAGGGGCTCGGTGTTCCTTAATTGTTTTACAGTTTGCCTTGGGTTTTCCTTAAGTTTCCATGGGGAATCGAAGTTTAACTTATGGGAAAAAGGGGCCTCGTTCCTTATTTAGGGTTCCTTAGGTCAACGCCCCCACTGTAAACATAAAACCTCGGAGGTCCGCGCCGATTTCTCGGATCGGCGCCGGACCCTCCCCGGCGCGCGGAGCGCGCCAGGGGCGGCGCCGGAGGCGCCGCCGGGGGGCCCCAGCGCCGATCCGAGGAATCTGCGCGGACCTCCGAGTTGTTGTGTATCTGCCACGTTTTTTTCCCCTAGCCATGCCAGAGTGGCAGGTGTGGGCCAAGCCACAGCCGGGGGGCGCGGTGGCGGCACTGCTCGTCAACATCGCCGAGGCGCCCGTCAACATCACGGTCGAGCTCGCCGCGCTCGGCCTGCCGGCACGCGCAGGCTGCCGCGACCTCTGGGCGCACGCCGGGTGCGGTGTCGTCGAGGGGGCGCTCCGAGCTGCAGCGGTGCCGCCCCACGATGGCGTCTTCGTCCTCCTCACGCCCTCCGTGGAGCAGTCTGCTGTTCTGGCACCTCCCGCGGGCCAGCCTGACAGCCTGCAGCGATCTTACCAGGTCGATCCTCCTGCGTGGGTCTAGCGCAACTGAGGGGAGATTGGACACCGGCTGCCCGCGGCAAGCCCCGCCACCAGGCCAGCGCAGCAGCGCGTCCGAGGGAGGATGTGGTGCAGGAGTGTAGCCTCCCTCCAGTTTAGCGCCTTCTCTGAACTGGCGCGGGTCTGCCTCACACACACGCTCCTTTCATTCGGCTTTGGTCTCCTCGTCCGTCATCATTCCTCCTCCTCTTCCTCCCTCATCTTTCCTCTCTCTCTCTCTCTTGCAGGCACAGGCGCATTGGGTGTTCCATTCGGAGGCTTGTTTGATATGTCTGGGGGGCGCCCTGGGACCATTTTGAGCGGCCTGTGAAGGGGCGTTTGGGGCATCTTGGGGCAGTTATAGTCGCGACGGTTCCACCAAGCTTTCCCGAAATGGTTCCCAACTTCCCGAAGTTGTCCTAAGCTCTCCGCCATCTTGAGGCGTTGTTTCCAGTATTGAGGTTGCGTTGGAGTTTTTGAGGGGTCTGACGACGTTGTGGGGGGGTGCAGTTGTTCCCAACCATCCTTTGGTGCTGGGTCCTCGTTTTGAAGAGACAGCGCCCCGCGTCTCACGCGTCTCACCTCGTACCTCTACCCCCTCCCTCCTCCCCCTGCTCCTCCCATTCCTGCTTCTGCTCGGCGCATGTCCACCATGTCGGCACACCCCTCACGAGGATCGTGGCCCCCTAGGGAGCTCCGCCGAAGGTCCCAGTGGCAGGGTCCGCGTGCAGTTCCATCCCCATTTCGGCGCACCCCTCACACGTTCCGCGGCCCCATACGTAGGGTGCTCCGACGAAGGCCCCAGTGGCAGGGTCCGCGTGCAGTTCCACGCCCATTTCAGCGCACCCCTCACACGTTAGGGTGCTCTGCCCAATGCCCCAGCGGCAGGGACCGCATGCGGTTCCACCCCCAGGTCGGCGCACCCCTCACACGTTTCGTGGCCCCGTAGAGCTCCACCCAAGGCCCCAGTGGCAAGTTCCGCATGCAGTTCCACCCTCATGTCGGCGCACCCCTCACACATTTCGTGGCCACATACGGTGTTCCGCCGAAGGCCCCAGTGGCAGGGCCCGCATGCAGTTCCATCCCCATGTCGGCGCACCCCTCGCACGTGTCGTGCCTCCATAGGGTGCTCCACCGAAGCCCCCCGTGGCAGGGTCCGCATGCAGTTCCACCTCCATTTCGGCGCACCTCTCACACGTTTCGTGGCCCCATAAGGTGCTCCGCCGAAGGCCCTAGTGGCAGGGTCCGCATGCAGTTCCGCCCGCATTTCGGCGCACCCCTCACACGTTTCGTGGCCTCAGATGGGGCTGCACCGACAGCTCTGGTGGCAGCGCCCGCATGGCGTACCAGTGCCAATTTTGGAACACCCGTCACACGCGTCTTGGCCCCAGAGACAGGTTCACCGAGGATGATACCCACAGCTGCGTTACACACAGCTGGACATGGTTGGATCCCCAGCGGTGGGCGTGCTCGGGGTCAAGTTATCGTCTTGGCGCTCTCGGGGGCTTCCAAAGCAAATATTCAACTGAAACGGCATTATAAGCAAACCAAACATGTCCAAAGTACGTGTTCATTGATGTTCGTCTTCCATAGTCTCGTGTGGGGCGTGTTGGAGCCTCCTGGCGACATCCTGGAGCCTTAACAGGGGGAGGAGGGTTGTAGGGTACTATGGAGGCCGTCTGGTCAGGTCTCGAAGCCATCTTGCTCTTGAGGTGGATCGCGACGTCGACGACGAACACGGCGACGCCGAAGACAGCGACAACGAGGACGACCACGACGACCACGACGACGACGACGACGGAAGTGATGACGGCGACGACGATCGCGACGGACGACGAAAACGTCGGTGGTGATGGCGATGATGGCGACGTCATCGTAGACGTCGGCGTCGTCGACGACGAAGACGTCGCCGACGTCAACGTCGTCGGCGTCGACGCCGGCGCCGCCGGCGACGCCGAGCCGCTTGAGGCTCGTGGGGCGGCGGAGCGCCATCGCGGCGCTGCGCGAGGAGCCTCGGCGAGCGCTGCCGCGCGCGAGGGCGGCGGCGGCCCCTTCGCGCCGAGTGCTAGTCGTCGACTCGGCGACTACCACGGTCGACTGGGCGAAGGATTAAGTCGGGCCTGTCCCTCTACAGGAGGAGTATTCAAAAATAGTAGAATTAGTCTGGGTACGATTTTTTGATTAGTTTTGCCCATTAAGGGGGGCATTTTTGTAGTTTTTTTTTCGCCCAAAATCCCCCTGTAGGGGGACACGCACGACTTAAGCGTAGGAGGGAGTGATCTTTCGCCAGAGTGACCTTTGGTGCGGGCCCAGCGTCAGAGGCAACGACAGGGGGGGGGGTAGGCATACTTATAGGGAGGGATGCAGCGACCCCCCATCGCCAATGGATCGCCGATGGGGGCCCGATGGCCCCAGCCTGTCCAGGAAGGCGCGGGTTCACGGTCGGAGGCCTATCGTCGATCTATCGGCGATGTATCGCCGATTCGAGGTCGATGAATCCCCCTTCTATGCCAGTCCCCCCTATCGTTGCCCCTCACATCGGGGTTCTTCCGATCGCAGAGCGCGATGCGATGGCAGGTGATTGCGCGCTTGGATTTGGCCACCTTGCGCCCCCAGATTCCGCGCACCAAAGGTCACTCTTATAGGGAGCCACATGCGAACCCTACCCCTACCCCCCACGATTTCTGATTTTTGGGAGGGGGGGGCGTTTCGTTCACGTCGTTCGGGAGCTCCCGAGCGAAGTGAACCCCACCCTCCCCCTCAGAGATCGTGAGGGGTAGGGGTAGGGTTCGCATGTGGCCCCCTACAAAGGTCACCCTTACCCAGGGTCACTTTTGTGCGTAGCGGACATGGGCTCGGGCTGGCGTTGAACTGTGGGATGCGGAGGGAAGAAGGGGGCCTTTTTGGGCCCCTTTTCGACCCCTGCAGTTATGACGTTCCAACCTACGTTAGCCTTGATCACCAGTAAGAATTTCGAGCACCAAGGAAGCACCGAAATTGGAAGGTTTTCACGTGTCGGGTCCTGGGAGACACTCGTTCGACACCGCTTCGACACTGTTTCGACAATTTTCCGGGTGCTCGAACTTCTTTCTGGGATGCGGTCCGTAAGTACGATGGGAACAACATAACCCTAGAGTCAGCCCGCAGAGTAAGGGTGGGCAACCTTCCCAGGGGTACCCTTGCATCCTTGCCCCTTCGGCCCATCCTTGGTGACTTTTGCTGGCCAACCTCGTTCGAACAACGTTAACATGGGCCCCCAAGGTGATCGTTTGTTTATTCGTTGTTTTGCCGTTCGGCGCGGGCCCTCGCACTCCCCCCCCCCCCCCGTGGAGAAGATCTTGGCTGGTTTGGGGCGCCCTTTTCGAGCAGGTGGGGACCCTCCCCCATAGGACGCACGGTGCCAACCAGTCGCACTAAGCAGAGGTCCGGAGCCAGACCCCCCCCTCCCCCCAAATTTCCCCCCAATGTCGAAGCGCCGAATAAGAAAAACGCTCACATGGGCCTTCAAGGCCCTTGCATCCTTGCCGCGCATCCGTAAGATACAGGTCGGCTGCATCGGCTTCACAAGGGGCTCTGAGCGGCCCTCTTCAGGGCGCCTCCCCCCGCAGCTCCCGCCGAATGGGGGTGTTCACGTCGGTCGGAGGTGGATAGACCTTCTACCCTGACACGTCGATTAACAAAATTGGCCGTTTTCGCTTCGCGAGAGGGCGTCGCGGCCGTCATTTTTGCGGGCCCAGCTCCGTCGGTTTCGGTCCCAGGCCGTTTTCACTAAGGGGAGGGTTTACTAAAGGGCGGTTTGTCCACCGCCGAGTCGGGGTGTGGTTTGCAATCGGCGCCGTTGGGAATGAGGGGGGTCACCGCGGTGCGCCAAAGGCCAGAGGTGTGATGAGCCCTCGTCGGGGCGTGGCGGAGATCTCTGCCGAGGTCCTCGCCCGCCCCCCGCCCCCGCGGCGCGGATTACAAGCCACGCCTTTTTTTGTTCGCAACCCCCACGCGTTGGAGTCGCCGGATCGCGGGCCCCAGGTCTCAGACGGTGTGATGTTGTCAATCCCAGCGTGCCTGCTCGATTTCGGCTTCGGGGCCATCGAAAAAGGGATCTGGGGCGAAGATCTGCCTTGGGGAAGGCGTCGGGTATTCCCGCGCCGAGCGCCCGTGGTGGTCGCAGTCGAGGATTGAGGGTCGAGGCTTTTGGGCGTCTCCCTCGTCGCCACAGGGAACGAGCTTCGAGGGTTCTGGGCGCTGCTCGCCCTTGTTCGGGCCTCCAGAGGGCTTCTCGTCGCCGAGGTTGCAGGATCCTCCAGAAGGCTCCTCGTCGTCGAGGTCGGAAGATCCTCCAGAACGGCTCCTCGTCGTCGAGGTTGGAGGATCCTTCCCCTGGTTGGGCCTCCAGAGGGCTCCTCGTCGTCCGAGGTTTCTCTCGTGCCCGTCGTCGAGAGATTAGGGGATCGAGCGCCCCAGGCCTCTCACGGCGTGGTGGGGGGGCCTCTGGTCGGGCCCCTGGGGCCACCAGAAATGACTCTCGTCGGGGAGCCTTGCGACGGGGGTCGGTGCGAACGGGGGTCCGCCAGAGCGCCCCGATCAACGAACATTTTGGATCATTTTTTCTCAACAAAGACAAAGACATGTGCATCGCTCGGACAAAGAAGGAGAAAGGCATCGCTCGGACGTGTGCATTTTTTCTCGACAAAGAACCTCGAGGAGCACTGTGGAAGATCCTGCAACAAGTGCACACACGAGGTCGACACATGCACGGGGAATGGACGTCCGATCGATGGTGAGTTGCAGCATCCTGCAGGGCCAGGGTCGTATTGACCCGGGCTTGGGCGCAGGACCCTGCAGGATCCTGCAGGATCCTTCGCATTGACCCGGGTTTGGGTGCAGGATCTTAACAGGATCTTGCAGGGTTCGGCGAGGCCTGACTGAGCCGGGTCTGGACCCGGGTCAGAAGATCCCCGGAT